TCAAAATCATAAAAATTCCTAGAAAGAATCTCCACAGAGGTTTCTGAGATGTATGGATGTCACACCCTGCTGGAAGGGGGCAGAGCTTTGACCCCTGGCTGCTCTGAGCCCCCTTCCACAGGCAGCTGTTGGGTTAGGCAGGATTTTGGCAGGCCTGATTTTGACTTTGTCAGAAAACCTGTCAGCATGCATATTAACTGAAACATCAAAAGGAGAAAAATTACTAACAAGGTTTTACAGCATTTTCAAGTGAGCTTCCAGCTGCACGTGAAGCTTGAAAGTAAAGGACTGACTGGGTGGGGAAGAGCTCCAGATCACTTAAAACATAAAATACACACCCATTCCATGGCAGCTGCTCTCAGGCTGCTCATGGTCAGCTTGCCTGCTTCAAGAACCACTTAACCACACGTGTTTCTTAAACTGATTTCCAGAAAAAAAAAAAAAAAAATGAAAATAGAACTGTAGGAACCAAACTTGTCTGAATATCACGTGAAGATCTCAAAAAGGTAAGCACAAAAAGATTACCCCCCAGTGATGTGGCTGCAAATTCAAGCTGCTTTAACATAATATAATAGTAATAAATAAATATAATAGTAATTAATAAATATCATAAAGTCCATGTGGCACCCCACAGGGTCTTTGATCAAACTGCACTCATAAGATTTGGGGCAGTGGGAGAAGAAAAAGCAACTGGGTAAAGACAATTCCATGCTCAATGTGTCTCTGTACAGTTTATTTTACAGGAGATGAGATGAGCACTATGGTGTATATAAACTTGCAGAACAATATAGGAAAATACAGTTTAACCATATGAAATTGTTTTACAGTAAGACAGAAAAATTACATATAGGAAATGCCTTCAACACTGAAGGACAAGATCCACAGCTGACATCAAGTAGCTTCCACTGAACCCTGCCAGTTTATTTGAGCTGAAGATCTGCCCCTTAAATCTTTTCTTCATTCAACTTAAGTTCAGTAAGTGATTCCTTCATCTATCCTTAGGGAACAAAAGCCATCCTAGAATTTCCACAATGATCCAAGATTTACTAGTAACCCAGACAGAGGCTGTGTGATAAATAAACTATTTAAAGGGTCTAGTCAGCCAAAATTTATGGGAAGTTATAAAATTTTGGTTAAGCATCTGTAAAAACAAGTCATTAGTACTGGCAAAAGACAACTTTCCTAGAAATTTAGAAGTATTTAGGAAAACTTACACAAAAAGGACCAAATAAGCAACTTAATTTTGATAGAAAACTCTGGTTTAGTGTATGCCTGGTATCTGGCCTGCCTGTGAATCCCTGCTGCTACAGTTTCTGCAGAACTTCCCAGGAATTCTCACACTGTCTTGTGCTGCAGAAAACAAGGGAAGCATCTAAGGAGAAGAAAGAATTTTTGTCCAACACTAGTACCTGCTGTTTTCCTAATGGATAGAGGTTGCTGTCCCTAAAGAGTGTTTTTGACCTAAAAGAGTATGGACATCCAAATTCCTTAGGCTATTCTGATAATCTCAGCCATTTCATCAAAAAACTCCAAAGGAAAAAGGGATTTCAGGTCAACCATTGCCAAATTCTGGGATTAACATGACTTTGATTATTTTGTTACCAGATGTGAGATCCCTGAAATCACATTCAGCTTTTGAGTTCCAGGACCACAACATTTCTTCTCTGCAACTGCTGTGTAAAAAATAAATTTGTGGGCTTTATTATTATTATTTATTAATTTTATGCAATAAAGTGTAACAACTCTTTTATGTAAAATTATCACTGCATACTATTTTTATGCAGAATTCCCTGCTTATTCTACTGAGACCAAGCATGGGTCCAAAGATTAGTTTCAATGCAGTTGCTTTTAAGTCTAATTTTTTCTATTCCATTGTCAGCATTGAGAACTTACAATGCTTGAGCTGGACAGCAAATTCTCAGAGCCAAAGGCAGGACTCCTGGAGATGTGGCTGTCCTAAAAGGGTGCACAGTTCAGAGCAAGGAAGGGGCTGAGAATCCTGCACAGATCTGTGCACAGTGGCTGCTCCTGAGATTTGACAATTTGTAGGGTAAATCTGTATTTTTCACATGATTGTAGCAGATACTATTTAAAGAGGCACTTCAAGGGGATTTACTAGCAGAATTTTAATAGGGTTGTGATACAAGCCATTAATCAGTTACTTGTTAAATCAGTAGCCCTAAAAGACTGCATATATTCAAAATTATAGTCCTGTCCACTCACTGAACCTGGAGAGAGCAGCTTTTGTTCTGAATATCCACTGAGTTTGTCTCTTATGACACACCTGAAATAGTTCAACTTAATGTAAGTTGAGGGAATTAAATTTGAATGTCTCAAATCTATATGTGTTTTTTTTTTCCTGTGATTATTATGTGGTTAATCTAAGATTTTTTTTTTATTGGTCTATGAAAGATTTTATCCACATACAGTTCTTAGACTCAGATGCATCATTAGGCACAAAAGGTTTCTGCCTTGAGGAATGCATGGGATTAGAAATTTAAGCTGAATTGTGCTATGTGTTGGTCCCTTCAGAAAAAAACATCCAGGAAGGAAAAAGAAACTGCAGCTAGCACAAAAAAGAAGTTATTACACTTCCAAACCTGGTGGCTGATTAAAAAAATCCAAAATAAAACCCAAAATAACCTCTCCAAAAAAGCTCTTAAAACTCTCAGAAAACAGCCAAAAGCATGAAGTTTGGTTAGGACATTGAAAGAACAGGTATTTTCTATGAAATTTCACAATTAAAGGTCCTGAAAGTGTTATACTTCACTGATGAAGGGCTGGCTACAGTAACAACAGAGGGGGAAAATAGAGTTGAAAGATGCACCACTCGTATGAATAAAACCTATTTTAAGACAAAGCAGTGGGTGTTATTCCCACAACAGTGTTCTCAGGAAAAGACAAGGATTTGCTGCCAGGAAAGACTTCATTCCCACCGTGCATCAGCAGGGCTGTGTGCTCCAGGCTCCTGAAGCACAGCAGGCTCAGCACACCTGAGCTGGGGCAGCCAAATGCCAGAGCCCCTTCTGGTCCCCAGGGCAGCACTGGCACCTACTGGCCTCCCATGGGTGCAACCAGGTGTGAGCTGGACAGCTCTGGATCAGCTACAGACACATCCCAGCACTGATTTCCAGGTGCTGAGCAGGACTGGGACAATGATGGGCTCCTTACTCATCATTACTCAGTCCCCATCAGGGTGTGAGAGAGATGCCACTGAGGTAACCATCCTCCTGCCCTGTGTGTCTGCTTTAATCTGAATTTATCTGTGATTCTTGCCCACCTGGTTAAGAGAGAGGAGACCAGCAGGCTCCTCTGGTGCACACAGGATGCCTGTGGGCTGTTCCCTATCCCTGGCAGAGGATGGCAGGAATGTCCACACAGCAGCAACTCCTCAGAGCCAGTGCTTCAGCAACCTCTGCCACACCACTCTGCTATTTCAATACACACTGGGGAGCAAAAAGCCTGCAGGCTTTCCAGAGAGGTCTGTGAACTGAAAAGCTCGTTATTTTGAAAACTGCCTTTTTGACACTGTCTTTTGAAGATGCAATTGCCAATGAGAGGAATGTCAGGGTGAGCAGGACTGCCCTCAGGACACTGCTGGGACCGGACAGAGCTGCACTAGAGGACAAGAGCACAGGAGATACTGTGAAACAGTAAATCTGCTTTCAGTTCAGAAGGAAACATCCAATAATCGCATCAAGAAGCCACATCTACTCATTCCAGGGGGGCCTTCAAAGTGCTTGTCTGGATTTCTTAAGGTGCTTGGTAGTGAAGGACCCACCTGGGTAAGCAGTGCCCTTTCTCTCCCTGTGTGTGATGAAGAGATGGATGGGCAGAGCCCCTTTGTCACTGAATTATGGATTTGAGCTTTTACAGCTCCATCAGTAGGTGACCTGTGGGTCCAGACTCCAGAGGTGTGTTCTGACTGCAGCCCCACACAAACACACTACAGGAGCTGCACAGAGAGCAGCTACACATTAATTATTTCTCATTTCTTATTATTTACTTTATCCATGTACTTGAGTACAAGTAAGGAAAAAAGAGGCTTGTGCATTTCTGTTTGTTAGCCTGATTTTCAAAGAGTCTTATCTCTTAGCTCCCTGCTGTATTCCAAGAAATCTCTGAGTGCTGAGCACTTCCAAAGAACAAGTGAAGAATGCCCATTTCTATATTGCAGCCAATATTTAAATACTGACATTAAAAACAAGGACAATTCTAGGAAGTTCTAACAGAGCCTGAGAAACAACAACTGCTACAAGCATAAAGAAGCTTCTTGTGGATGCCTCACCAAAAATTCCTGTTAGGGCAAAAGAAAAAAAAAACCCTAACCCAAGCAAAATTAAAAAGAAAAAAGCTGCATAAAGGGAAAAAGAAGTAGTGCACAAGGTTGCATGCTGCCTGTCAGGCACTCAAGGAAGTGTGATTTCAGTGTTTATCTGTGCAATAAGGGGGAGCACAGCTGCCCCCAGCAGCTCAGAAGTGACTGCACAGGGGGAAAGGGAGTCTAGAAACATTACAGAGATTTCTGTATGATTTTCACTGCTGTTACAGTATTTTAAAATTTAAAAAAATAAAAATTAAATGTATCTTCTACAATTCCAGTGTCCAATAATGAACTAATGTCCCTATAAGGGAGCAACCAAAGTCTTTCAAAAGATGTCCAACCCATAGAAGTGATGAACAAGTGTGAGTGGCAGACATGACTGAACCTGGAGCACGTTGGCAAACTGAGAATTAGGCCTTTTTGGGATATTGCTCCAAGAAAAACTGGAATCTTGCTGCTAATGGGAGAAGAGTGCATTTGGCCCATGTGGAAAAATACTCACTGCTTTCAGCTCATAAACTTCAACAGGAATCAGCCAACAGCACTGGATCCAGAATGAGTTCTGGCAGGAAATGAGCTGAAAGAATACCTTAGAGAGAAAGATGTTCAACTGTGCTTGAAGACACAGGCAGGAAGGTCTGGATGGTGAATAAAACGTTCTCATTCTGTGTGGCAGCTGAGGGTACAGCTGGCAAAGCACCTCACCAGCTCCGGCACTGATCTGAAGCCATGGAGCTCAGGAAGGCCAGAGAAGGGCCAAAAGGCTCTGGCTGAAATGGAAAATGCCAGAGAGCCCTCCAGCACAGGACAAGAGTGTGACAGCATCGCTCGGACCAAGAGGGAGCTCACAGGTGTGGCAGCACTCCCAAAACATAGCTGGCTTAACAGATCTGGGCAAGCAGAGCTACCTGCTAAGGACCAGAGGGAAATTCCCCCTTGTTCCACCTCTGGCAGTGAAAGCAAACAGTGCTAGCTGAGAGCTGACCTCTGTGTGACCTCAGAGCATGCAGAGATGTCAGATAACCCTGCCAATCTGATCCCCACAGTGCCTAAACCAGCAAAAGCTCACAGCAGGCACGTGAGGTGCCAGCTGAAGTGAGATGATGCCTAAGCTCAGTCCTGGAGGTAAGAGACTTCCTTTGGTATTCCATTAGTCAGCTACACTGCAGCAGCATCATGCAGCATCCACACATGCTGGAGTTTTATTGAAACACTGAGTTTGAACACTGAGTTTGCTCACCCAAAACAAAGCATTCAGACAGACTGGGCTCAACTGCATTTTTGGAACTCAGTGGAAGACAAACAGAGCAATGCTGAAACTGCCAAAGTTCCTGTGAGAGCAGGAACCCATGCTCTCCTTTAAATGTGCCACTACCCTCTTTGAAGGTGCTGTTAGAAGCAAGGGAACTCCAGCAAGCCCTGACCTGTAAGGCATCACTGTCCAAAATTCATCAGAAAGAGAAATGAATGAGAAGGTAACACTGATGTGCAGGGTCACAGCAAGAGGGAATATCATCTTTTGAAAGAAATGAGCTGAAAACTCTTTACAGGCAACAGCAAAACTTGCACTGAACACAGATGGAAGTGTTGTGGGTGAAGCATCTCACCTGTGGTGGAGCAGAACCCAGAGTCTCCTGGGGCTGGGAGTGATCAACAGCCAGGTACCTGTGCTCTCCTCTGGTCACTGAAGTGAAAAAGAGACACAGGCTCCACCAAGAGAATCACTGATCTGGGCAGCTCACATCCCTGAAACACTTCAAATGGACCAAGAACTAGAAGCAGGAAATATGTCTGGAAAAAAACCCCAAAAGTAAGAAAAAACCCAAAACAAACATAACCACAAAACCCCCCCAAATAAACAAAAACAACAAACACCCAACTAAGAATTTAGAGCAGCATAAATACACCTTAGCAGAGGAACCACAACACATTACAGTTCCCAGAAAAACCTGTGCTAGTGGACAGTGTTTCCAGTCCAAAAGAGTAAAAAACATCTTTAAAGAAAGAGGAAAAGTAAAGTGTAATTTCTAACAATTAATTTCAGGTATTTATTAAGAGAATACTGTATAAAGTGCACAACTAGCTTTGTTTTGCAAACAAAACAAGAATGTGTTGAGGCATTGTCAAGATTGTTCATTTCAATTTACAATTGAAATTACAATTACAGCCAAGAACAGGGGGCAGCCTGAAATGGAGCTTTCATGTATTCACATTATTTTGGCCACTGAAGTTTTCAAAGTTCAACCTGCACTTGTGGCTTAAAAAATAAAAAAGTGCCTGTCCTCTGAAGTGCAAGGCAGGAGTTAGAAGTACACACTGATATGGCCAAAAATGAGTAAGACAGAGTGAATCAGCAGAAACCGAAAAGGAGAGATCACCAACTGCCCTGCCTGAGGGCAGAAGGAAGGAGAAGAGGATCCCAGGGAGGCTCTCACCAAGCTCAGGACACTCAGGCAAACCAAACAGTTCAGCTGGTGCTGCAATGCTCTGTGCAGGAACTTGGGAGAGGCTCACACCACAGTGTGCTCTGCCTACACCAAGAATAAAACTGGAGTCCAAATTCCCAAGTGCCCCAGCAGGAGCAGTGATCCTGAGCGTGCAGCAGTCATGGCACTCCAACTGCCAGCGTGCAAAGGATGCTGAAGGTTTGTCAAGCTTAATGAAGCAGCAGAGGAGTGGGTTGTGAAGGCATTTGCAAGGCAGGAAGGAACCTGGACTAGTAAAGAGATGGCTGGAGAAAAAGGAACCAACAGAAAAATGCAGTAATAGTTTAGAAATAATAAACCAGAAAAATAACCACTGCAGCAATGTTACAAACATGCTTCAGGTAAGACTTTTCTGTGTCTCAGTTTGTATTTGTAAGGAGGAATATTGACTTCCAATGATCTAGTCCCAGCATTTGGAGGATGGTCAACAAAAACCTGGAACAGCAGAACAAAAGAAGGATGCAGCTCTGGGGCTGGGGAGAAAAAGACAGTAGCAGTGAGATAAAATGAAGCAGAAGTGGGGAGCAAATGAAATAGTGTGGTTTGGGATATTGTAGCTAAGACCACAGTAAACACTGGTAAAGGCCACAGTGGTGAGAATCAAGATTTCTCCTGGATCTAAAGCAAGAATCTGAAGAATCTTTGCATTGTATGAAATGCTGAAAGAGATATATTAACAGCAACATTGAATATTCCATCAGAAATAACAGCAGAAGAAAATAAATACCTTTTCAAAACCAGTCTCCAAACTACGGAACACTATTTGCTAAGAGCTGTGTTGAATTTTTGGTGGTTTGCAGTAAGGGTAACAGAAAAAAACTTAGATGGTACAGAAGTGCTGGGCACCTACATCTACACTGAATGCAATCTAGCATCATATATTCACGGCACCTTTGAAAATCAGGCTCCAAAAAGATAAAAGCCAAAATTTAACGGGACAAACCCAGTAATTAAAAATACCTAAAGTCTGTGATATTCACCTGAAGAAACCAACAAAGGAAATTTAAACCTGAATCCCAAGTAAACTATTAGAGGACTGTCTTTAAGGAGATTCTGTGGAAAAACACCTTGCATGAGCAGGAAAGATTTTAAACATCTAATTTATTCCTTGGGATACGACCTCCTTCTGTCATTGAGGGCACTCTGACAGCTAATGAGGTAGGTATAGTACAACCAAGTCTTTCCTGATAAAAAATTGTGATGGTAACACTTTCAAACTTATCAACTGGCCGACAACAGAAATCATGAAAATGGGTTTATGTATCCCTGAGAGGGAGTATAAAACAGGAAGAACAGGAATCTTCTCCATAGATTTTGGGAGAAGGGCCATCACTTCACTGCCATGGTGAAAGACAGTGTTATATGAAAGCAATGCATCCACACAACATTGCTGCAGGATACACAGATTTTATAAACGGGGGAGCCACGAAAGTTAATTGACTTGCCTATGGCCATGAGAGCAGTCAGTGACAGAGCTGGGATTCATGATCAGGACTTCCTTGCCTCCTGCATCATATTCAGTTATCTCCTTGCTGGCCAGAGGCTCTCTGCCTGGTTGTTCTAACATACTCTATAGAGATAGTCATGCAAGGGGTGGAGCACAAAGTCACTGAAGAACAGGGCACTTTCTGTGCCAGGAAGCAGATTTCTCCTGGAAGCTGCGTGCAATTGGGAACCTCAGGTGGGAAGCACACATCTGTTTTTTTCACCCTGGAATGTCTGGTGCTTAAGGCTTAGCACAACGAGGACCATTGTAATGACTAAATGGAACAGAGATAGCCCATACAGGCATAAATTACAAGGTGTCTGTCTGGTAGTGAAACAACCTTTTCCCTATGCTCTTCTGACCCTTAAAAACAAACGTTAGCCTGCTTAATTCAGTGGACTCATCACATCCAACCACAGATCAGTCTATATTTCCATGTCCACAGGTCGGATATCTCCAGTTTTGTGTTCTTTTACCCACAGTTCCCTGTCTTTGGCAGGATCCACTTTCCGAAGCAACTGATCCACAAGTTCTACTGTCTGAAATGAAGAAAACAAGAATCCAAATGTCAAGGGCACACTTCAAGCAGAGAGTCATTGCTCTGACACGCAGAGCAGCTGTGGGCATGCCTACACTGCATCTGCAGACAAGTGAGAGCTGCACGTACATGAGACTGGATGGACAAGACAGGTCTGAACGTGCAGCCTTGTGCTGAGCAGAGAAGAGGGAGACTTAATATGAAGAAGCAGAGACAGGTTTCCTGTGCCAGGCAGCAGCCAGGCAGCCTCTGACTCCTGTCCTGCAACCTGCACCTTACACCAAACACAACTGTACTGAGTCAGCGTGCATCCCCCATGCTTTAATATTTGATAAACTGCCAGTTTTTAATAAGGAAAATATATACCCACTCCCTTTTCCAACAGTGAAACAATTCAGCATCTTCCCTGCACAAAAGACCTCATGGAGTAGTGCATCATGCTGGGAGAGCTAATGATGGCTCATGCTGGCCAAATGTACTTCAGCTGGTTGTGTCTCCCTCAGGAGAGAGCTGTGTGAAAGGCGATCAGAGAGTCCTGGACTGCAGGGAGGCAGCACAGCACTGCTGCAGACTAACAAGCTCCCTGCAGACACTTCCCCCACATCCTTTGACCAAAGCCAGTCAGAGCAGGTCAGGAGGGAGCATTCTGCTCAGCTGGAGGGCAGTGAAGGGCACAGAGAGCAAACAAGAAGCACACTTACACTTTGGTTGAACATGTCTGTCTCGTGCCGCAGCTGTGTGTACTGGCACAGATGCTGCCGAATCATCTCCACCCTTTCAACTTCTAGTCTCTCAAGCTCCTGGACATGAAGAAAAACAAGTCCATATTTTTACTGGAACCTGAGCTTGGAGGCCCAGAGAAAGGAGGATAGACAAAAGGCTGCCAGTAGGTGCGATACTGCCCCAGGGTCATGCTTTGGAGCTGGGCTCTGTGGTTGCACATTCCTCTGCTCTGCAAAGAATAAGAAACAGCAAGCAACAGCAGTCATCTCAGCCTAGCAACAGAAAAGAAGGTCAAACCTTTCCAAAAGGCTCCAAAACTGAGACAACCAAGGCAGGGAGTGGAGCTACTGCCTTCAGAGATGCTGCAAGCAAGAGGGAATCTGTTTCCTGCAAGAAGTTCTGTGTGCTTTATTGCTAGCTAGAAAAGTTATGGTGATTCCCTGGGGCAGCAGAAATCACACTGGGGGGGATGGCTCAGACCACCCCCATTCCAACCAGACACCTGTCAGAGCACAGTTCACCAGATGATGAGCTGGGACAAGCTCCCACCTTGCTCAGCTAGCAGTAAGCAGAACCCAGCAAGACTATAGTTGGAAAGGCAGGTGATTTCTGTCTTTCTTCCTGGTATTTTCTGCCTCCCTCCTCTTCTGAATTCTGATATTATACCCCAAAATCTGCATTTAGTCCTTCTGGACTGAATGCACTGAGCACTGTGTGCAGTTTTGGGCATCACAATATAAAAAAAAAAAAGGCATTAAGCTGTTAACAGTGTCCAAAGCAGGGCCACAAAGACAAAAAAGGGTCTGGAGGGGCCTGAGGGGAGACTCTGGTGAGATCCCACCTGGAACACTGCAGGCAGCTCTGGGCTTGGCAGCACAAGAAGGATGTGCAGCTTCTGGGTTAAGTCCAGAGGAGGCCATGGAGTTGCTCCAAGGCAGCTTGTAGCAAGCCAGGCTGAGACAACTGGAGCTGTTAAGTCTGCAGAAGAGATGGCTCTGGGGAGACTTCAAAGAAAATTGTGAAATTGTGGAATAGAAAAATTCATGAATGTATAAATGGATTTGGTGATTTATCACGTGTTTTTCAGTGTTTTCCTTGTGCCTTACTTCATCCTTCCTAAGGACAATTTGAGTGTTCTGGCCCCTAAGCAGCCCTGAACTGGTTTAATGCTTTCTGCAAAGGAACTATTTTTTCTTTTTTCCCCTACTGCTGAGTTTTCCTTAGGACTGAGAATGGGATGAACAATGTGAGATTTATCACCCAATTTTCCCCACTGCTTTGCACTGAACTAGCTGTGAGTGATGAATACTGTAGGCTATGACAATTCTGCAAGGGCAGTTTCAGATGTTACATACCAGAGTGGTGGTCACCATCTCCTCAAACCACTTGGACTGGGCTTGATTGTAAAGATCCACACAGCGCATCAGGTCATCCCCTGAAAGAGAAAAGACAGCAACACATCAGTCTTGCCCAGCCAGAGCTTAGAAAGAAAGTGCAGGTCAGGTTTTGTAGACCCCAAGGATTTGAAGATGAATGCTGGTGGAGCTCAGAGGAGTTGTGCTGCATGGACCAACATTTCAACTAAATGCATGCACTTGATGTATGGCAAGAAAGCAGGTGACTGGGGTGAGAAGGAATAGATTTGGAAATAAAAATGTAAGCATTAAGAGTAGTATTTTACAAAGTGTCCAGAAATATAAAAAAAGGCAAGGTAATTCTATTTAAAAAAAAAAAAAAGCAATAGATGGAAAATTGTATTTGAAAACAAAAGCAATTAAAATGGGAAATCAACAATGGTGAGTAATGAACTGCAGAGCAGCACTCTGCAGGTGAGACTGCAGTCGAAGGGGTCTCTGTCCCAAAGGGGAGGGATGCATCAGGCCCCAGCTGCTGGATGAAGGATGCTGATTTGCACCCTCATGCATTCTCCAGCCTCTGGAGATGCCCAATTCCAGCTGAGCTCCAGCTCCTGTGATCAGGGCAGTAACACAAGAAGCTGCAGTTCTTTCCATTTTTTCTTTGTTGCAGGACTCTGCACTGACAGAGGGGGACATGTGGGTGGCAAGTTTGGAACAAAATTCTCAAAAATTGCTGCTTTGCAGCTAGGAAATTCTCTTTGTTCATTAAATGAGACTCAATTTCTCTTTCACTCTCTGATCTTCAGCTCTTCCTTGCTTGTTCAGTAAAAATTGATTTTAAACAATTTCTAAGGACCCAAGGAACAAAGAGAAATTGTGAATTTTCAGGTGAATAAAGAACATCTCTTACAGAGTCTCCTGTTGTTAAGTCATAACTTTTCTTTCTCCTCAAAGATTGCCTGTACACATGGTCACACTGCCAGGGACTCTTCCCAGCCTCCTTAAAACTCAGACATCTATTCTGAAGTTTTAAAAACCTCAGAACTCTGAAGGACCACTCTGCCAAGGAACAGCCCTCACTGAAGAGATGACACATGGAAGGCCTAGCTAAAACTTATTTTCAGCCAAGGTACTGAGCTGCATGTATCAGCTTTGCAGATCTCAAAAAAGTTCCTGATGGATCCTGCAGATGTGGCTTGAGGCTCTGTAAAACATGCACAGGTCACAGCAACTGGCTGTATCCTCAGTACAGGACAGCACACACTACTATATCCTCAGTATTCCTAGAAGAGAAATTATTTTAGTCACTGAGTAGCAGAGGGAAAAAACCCAAAAAACATCACTTTCAAGGAAAAAGACAGTAATAGTAAGTGTAATAGGCACCCACCAAGTTGTGGGTGAGTGTGATTTAGGAAAGAACCAAGGAAGGAACTGTGATTTATGGAAGAAACACCCTCAGCTAAGCTTGTCTGAATCTGACTTTGGAAGTTCACAAACATTTAGCAATCTAAGGACACCTTCAAGAAACAGACAACTCACCCTACTTTTGCTGTTCTCACCTCAATTATCAATGATTTGTGACATCTGAGTTGGAAAAACTAGCCTTGTTTCTTCTGAGGATTTAACACCACACAGATTTGTAGCATGGCTCACTTTGACTTTGTTTTTACAACATTAAAACCAAGCACCACGTGGATGGATGGGCAGGTGCACTCCCCCTGGCTCTTGCTGGGTGCTGACAGGCACAGGCACTCACCTGCCTGGGTGGACTTCCGTCTGGCCTTCTTGATTTCCTCTTCTGTCTTGTTGCTGAGTTTCACCTCTAGCTGCTGTGTTTTCATTTCCAGATCCTTCTGCCTCTCTGTCAAGGCTTTCCGGGCCTTGGAGCAATGAGGAAGAGTCAGAAGTTACAGAGAAGAAGATCTGGGAGCTGCTTTCAGCCATCTCAGACTCCTTCACACAAGCATTTTCAGCAAGGAGGCAGCAACTTTGCATGGAACTGGGTCCTAACAGGGATTCAGGTCCTTACAACACCATGTGGAGCTCACAGAAGTGTCCTGTGACCACAAAGGGGTCACCACCAACAAATCACAAATGCATCTGAACTCTTCAGAGTCTTAGAAAGGCAAAGGAGTAATGGCATCATCAGGCTCTCCTGTTTTTTAATTGCTTTCTCATTGTTTCTGGAAGAAAAGAGAGCTAAAGCCTCTTTCAAACGTCTTAAACAGCATCATTACCAAGACACCTCTTCCATTCACTTTTCTTAGGATCTGAATCACTGAAATAATTTCAAGTATCTTCAAAAATTTCTCTTTAAGTAAGTTCTGCACTCAGTGTACAACTATCACACACTAACAATAGGAACTTGATTCAGAAAAACGTATTCAGGATCATGCCAACAGTAGAAATCAAGAACATGAGGTCTGCTTACAACTGATGATTTGAACTACCTTACTTAGAAGTTCTTCAAGCTGTTAAAACCTGATTTATCAGTACAAATATATATTATACAGGTAAATTAGTAGAGCACCTTAACAAATAAACATTGCTACATGCAGGCTGACAAATACATAAAAATCACTTGTTTTGCAGGGATTTGTTATAAAACACGTCACATTTGTTCTTTATACTGTACTAGTGTTTCAAACTAAATTGGCATGACTGAGTTTTCTTAGAACTCTGCAGTTTTTTACAGTCACACCAGCCTAAATGTTACAGCTCTGCTGAAGCATTCCTGGAATTTTTTCCATGTGCAGCTCTGAGGCCCTGGTGGGTCCTGCAGGTCTGGAGAGGGAGCTGCAGGAGAGCAACCTGCGAGGGCTGAGTGCTCCACAGGCACTGCAGTCACAGCTCTTCCCTTCTTCCAAGGTTATTCTAAATTCACTCTTCCCAACATTGCTACTGAGTTGCTTTGCAGATAGGAGTGTGAAGAACTTGGTGTTTTGCAGCAAAATGCCTTCCTTGCAGACACTCAGACTAACGACCTCGTGTATCCTGCCATAGTTCTGTCCCTGGGGAACTCCTGCTGAGCTTTAATGAAAGCACAAACAGCTTCGGGGATGACTGGGAATGGTATTTTCCTTTCCAATTTACACCCAAAAGCAAACTCATGAGGACACAATTTGGCAGCTGAGGCATAAGCATCCCCATTTCTGCCAGCTGCTGCTGGGAGATCGTATTTTGTGGGTCTAACTCCCTGCACCACAACCTCAGCCACCTCCTGGTTTATGTTACATCAGCCCATTACTGGGTGCTGCTGCTGCTGCTCTTTGGGTTTTTTAAGTGAGGATGTTTCTTGTGAGGGGTTTGTCATTTGCCAGGCCAGGGTCCAGCTGCTTTTGGCCACTGAGCCAGGTGAGCCTCTGACCTGACCCTGTGGCCATTCTAAGGCAAGGTGCTCTACATTTTGAGGACAACAGATGCACATAAATAAGAAGTATTTGCATCAAATTTATTGCCCCAAGCTGGCAAGGAGAGGATGAACCAAAAAGCCACTTCAGCAGTAGGATGTTTGCCCCCCACTTCCCAGATCTCAGCTAAACACCAAACTATTTCTGGGGCTGGGCAAAGCACAGCTAACAGTTGTGCTTTTGTTCACATTCTCTGAACAGAGAGACATAATTCTCTCTCTCAGAATTTTTTTCCTGGAGAAGCACAGAGTGAAGAAGAGAAAAAAATTCTTATCTCTACTTGCTGCTCCTGTTGTTTTGCACATGTAGAATTTGTTAGGAAGATTGTTTACCTGAAGTGATTTGTCAATTGGATTCTGCTGAGGATTGTTTTGTTTCCTTGGCCAATCACTCAAAGCTGTGTCCTGGCTGTCTCAGACAGTCAGGAGTTTTCTTTAGTATCTTTTAGTATTCTTTAGTATTCTTTGTAGTATAGCATCTCTTTAATATAGTATAGTATAATGTAACATAATACAGTTTAATAAAGCAATTGTTCAGCCTTCTGAATCAACAGAGTCAGATACCAATCACTCCCTGATCAGGAGCACCCAAATTTCAATAAACAGTGAAAGCCCTCAGCAAGAACAGCTGTGACAGAACTGAAACTCTGCATGGGGCAGCTGCTCTTCTCAAACCAGCAGTGTCCAAAGCCTGCAGGCTGCTCCCTGCTCCCACCTTTTCAACGGCCGTGTAGCGGCTGGCCAGGTGCTTCCGCAAGTCCGCGATGTGGTGGTCACACTTCTTCATGTCCTTCTTGAAGTTCTCTCTGAAGTTCAGCAGGGGTTTCTCCACCTCGCTCTGGAGCTGGCAATGAAAACAAAGGAAGAAATGAGGAGCCAGGCAGCAATTCCTGGCTCTTCACAGAACCACAGAATCGTTAAGCTGGAAAAAACCTCCAAGATTATCAAGTCCCATTGTCAACCCAGGTGTGGTATTCACATTCTCTGAAAAAATGCCTTCACCCAGGATTTCTCTCCTGGGAAGCTGAAAGGTCTCAGAGAAAAGGAAAACAATTCTTATCTCATTTGCTTCTCCTCTGTTTTGCTCCTTTGGAATGTGTTTGGAGATTGTTTACCCACAGGTGATTGTTTCATTGGATTCTGGTGTGAATTGCTCTTTGGCCAGTCAGGGCCAAGCTGTGTCAGGGCTCTGGAGAGAGTCACGAGTTTTCATTATTATTATTTTTTTTAGCCTTCTGTAAGTGTCCTTTCTGTATTCATTAGAATAGTATAGTAACCTTTAATATAATATCAAGTAATAAATTAGCCTTCTGAGAACATGGAGTCAGATTCATCATTCCTGCCCTCGAAGGGGCATCCCTGCAAATACAACACCCAGGGCTGCCAGGTCCACCACTAAACCCTGCCCCTAAAGTGCCACATCCACGTGTTGTTTGCACACAAACCGTGGGAAAGATTTGGAGGATGGTACAGCAGTTTCTGTGCAGAGTTTAAGGAGAAGTAAAATAATGGAAAAGCCCCTCTCAACCTGGCCTGCCTACACACACACATCATTCCAAGGTGCATTTCTTCCTTTTGGAAAACAATACAGGAAGACAATGGGGAGCAAAAAGTATTTCACTAATTACAGCCCTGATGTCGAAGTTTAAGGCAGAGCAGTGGGTTACCAAGGCAGCAGCTGGTTGCCTGAGTAACCTCTGCTGAAATGCTTACAAATGGTGCAGAACTATAATTTTCCTCCAGAACATGGCTGCTGTGCTGAGATACCTGCCACTGTATTGAACTTGAACACCCACAGAGGTTAACAGAATGCAACAGGATTCAACAGCATGTCACATGTGGTGGATAAAACCCAGATAAATACCATAATTTGTAAAAGAAATCTCCTTGGGCATCACTTGAGATAAAACCCAAAAATAACATGATGTTCCCAGCAGACTTTTGAGAAAGCCTAATAATACAAAAAAAGCCAGAGTTCTGGTTCTCTTCCTTGCAGACAGGTGGAGTAGATTCTTGTTGAGAAGCCAAACATTGCTTTTCACGTCTTCCTTTTAGAAGTGAAGTGTACAAGCACTAGTTCAATTTACTGGCTGGAACACAGAGCCCAGGTGAACAACATCTAGAATCAGCTTTACTTCTTTTTTACAAAAAATTAAAGCTAGGTGTGTTTTAATTTACTCAGTAGGTAGACTAAATAAAATGATTTTGGGAGGAAGTTTGGACAGAGTTTCAGTAAGTTTGTTCACCAACTTATTAATTCTTCTAAATTTTTATCACATGCGTGTGTATTTCCCCCACTAACATGCACTGAAGGGAGAGGCCCACCAATTCAGGGCAAAAATCTTTGGAAAAGAAAGAACCATTTACCTTAGAAGAAAATTTGAGATGAACCTCTGCTTCATCAGCTAAACTCTTCTTGAGCTGAGCCCAAGCTTCTCCCAGTGTGCTGAAGGAAGAGCAGGACAATGATCAGTCATTCCCCACCTTTCCTTGTGGGATCTGTCAGGGAAATCTGGCACAACACTTTGCAGCATATCTTGATCAGCAAAACCATGAAAAAGGGTAATAGAAATCTGAGAAAACAACCAGCCTTTGTGACCAAGGCAGAATTATGTTGGCATTGTTTGCAGATCTTTGAAAACCCAGTTCCTGACAATCTCCTCTAACAGAGACATCAAAGCCTCCATAAGCCAGACCCTTCAGTATCTTATCCTCACCATAAGAAAGTTTCCACCAATGCAGTTTTTCTGCCTCTTCTATTTTACACTCTACTTCAGAGGTGAAAAGCCTCAGAGAAGCTTTTCAGCACTTGAAAATTTCTCCGTTGTCTTTTTCTTTCAGATTATTTCCAGGACAGTGGCAGCTGAGGCAGACTCCTCCAGATCCTTTACAACAGCCCAGACTCCTCTTAAAGCACATAACCAAAACTACACTGTCCCCAGTACATTACAACTCCAGGGGCTAAACTGGTAACAGATTATTTTGTATCAGACACTCTTTCTTCTACATATTTCAATGTGATTGCCTTTTTAGACAACAGCATGAAGTTGTTGATGAATAAGCTTGTGATTCACTATAGCCAGATCCTTCTCCCACAAACTGTTATGTAACTGTATCTCTCACATCCTGTGAAAGTATAAAACCCGCTGCTTTGTCCTCATTAAAATGCATCTTATTTTTTTTGTCAGTTAATTTCTCAATTTTAACACAAGAATTCTGAATTGCAACCTTTTCTTCAAATTACACATAGCAGCCCTCCTAGCTCTGTCACATCTCTGAATACAGTAATTCCATACTTTCTTCTACCATAGGTTGTTCATTACAAAAACATTTTAAAACCCCCTGGACTTAGGACAAACCCTTTGGGGTCTCATTCCACAGCTACTTTCTGCAGTTTAGTTTCTGTAAGCAGTGGGTTTTTCCTACCTAGTTTTTTGCACATAAAGCTTTATTTAGGCCACCATTTCTCTTGTCTGCCTACGAGAATCTCCCATCACAAAAAGCAATACTAAATTAAGAGCTGTGATGCTTGACCTACTCTCTTACTCCATCACTGAAGGAATTTAGGTTGGCCTGGCATGGTTCTCTATGCATATACAACAATTGCTCATCATCTTATTTTTCCCCTAAGTGGAAGTTTGATGGTTTATTCCACCACTTTGCAAAGGCTGAATAAAGCTGAGTGATTTACAGTTCCTGTCTCCTTCTGTCTCTTTCCCATCCCCTTTTCAAGGATAATGAGATTTGACTCTTCCTGATAGCCTGAAAAATCACCTGTCACCTGCAATCTCAAATTAATGATCTGTCACCTCTGATGCTGCTGCAAGGCCTCGAGTCCTCAAATATGGTGTTCATCAGCTAAATAACTTAGATACACCTACCAAAGTGCTGCCAATATTCCTCCTTCCCTGAGGTCCTTTCCCACTGCCCAGCTGCCACTGACACTACCCCTGTTACCTGATCCAGTGCTCTCAGCTCCTTGCACTGCACCATGTCCTTTCCAGCTCCCTACTTCAATTTTTCTCAGGCTTGAGCGTTCATTCCCTCTCTTTTCACCTACTTTGTTTCCTTCCCTTTCATTTCTTCAGTCATTCCCTCCTTTTCCCATTGGGGATAGGAGCAAGTGGAAGGAAGATGTGGAAGAAAGCAGGTTTAGCTTTGCTGGGATCAGCTGAGCATCCAGCCCCAGGGAGAGAGAAGGACAAAAAACTTTGCCACTGTAGGTGCTCAGGGCAGTAACAGCCCAGTTATCCTCTTGCAATTTCTGTCCTTGCCTCCTGGAAGCTGAGCAAAACACCTTGTGCAGCTTCAGTGCTGGCAGGAAAACACTGTGCCAAAGGTGAGGACAGTCATTTCCAGCTCTGGCCTTCAGTGCTCAGAGGGTTTGTGGTGAAACAAACAGAGCTACCAAGTTCTGGTCCTTCAAGAGTGGTGCCTTTGCATTAATACTGAGGAACTGCAATTCAGGCTGAACTGCACTGCCTAATGTCTTCTTGATAACTTCCCAAGTGTGAAAATGTTGGAAATAAGCAGCAGTCTGCTGCTTTTTGTGAAGGGCCAGAACCCTGATGAGAAGAGACTGCTTTATCCTCCCTCTTGTCTGTGCTTCTCTAATTGTACCAGCATGACCTTACACAGCTACTCTCAGTAGTGTATATATGTATATATTCTATATATTCTTCCATTTGCAAAGTAGTTTAGTACACATACATGCTAATCCTGGAAGGAACCAGTCCTGGCTACAACAAGGACAGCACATAAACCTGCTTGGAAAGGCAACATTTTATACACATATTCCTAAAAAACATCTCACTAACAACGTAAAAAAAAATCCCAAACAAACAACTCTGAAGCAATTCCATCTTCCCCAACATGCCCAAGGTGCTAATCTAAATAAACCTCTGCTCAGAGGGAGAGAACTGGGGAAAATTACTTGTACCTGCGTGGGAGAAATGCCTTTTATATTAAAATTCGTCTTCTGTGAAAGTCACAGAGACACACTTACCCTTCTTCCTGAGCAGCCAAGGAATTCTGAGACAGTTTGGACAGGTTCTTAGCATATTCCTCCTCAATCTTTATCCTACACTCATATACACACAGAGAGAAAATAAAAAGACAGCAGTAAGTAAGCTTTAAGGCAGAAACCCACACACACATAATTTGAAGAAATTCTCTGCATTTCAACAGATTTTGCCACAGGAATTTTCCTTTCAGTCTCCAGGGCTTGGCAGCACCACTTTGATGAGCCGTCTTCTCCCCCCATATGCTAAAAATGCAGAGGCAAGAGCAGGGCTATATGCAGGACGGCATGTGAGACAAAATTAGCTGAAGAAGCTACAGTTCTGGAGAGCAAGTAACAAGGACAGAGTGTTTCTGCTGTGCAGCACGGGCTGTCTGCAAAACCAGGAGCACGTGGTTCAGTCTGCTGTGAAATGTGAGGCTGCACATCCTTGAGGCAAAAATGAAGGAGTGCAGCGAACCAGGAAAAACCCAAATGAGATTTGGGGGGCTGAAGTGTGTTGGTGATGTTTGCAAGGGTCCCAGGATGAGAGAAGAGATGAATCTGACTCCATATTTCTTAGAAAGCTGATTTATTATATTAAAAATGCTATGCTAAAACTGTGCTAAACTATAGAGAGAAAGGATACATCAGAAATCTAGAAAAGAATGAATAATAAAAACCCGTGACAGACCAGAGAGTCTGACACAGCTGGACTGGGATTGGTCATTTAGTAAAACAATTCACATGGAACCAATCAAAGATCCACCTGCCACATTCCAGAGCAGCAAAACACAGGCAGAAGCATCAGATAATATTGTTCTTCTTTTCCTCTGAGGCTTCTCAACTTCCCAGGAGAAGAAATCCTGGCGAAGGGATTTTTCAGAAAGTATCACAGTGACAGAAGTGCACCTTTCTTAGGGACACCAAATGCTCCCTGCTCTCTGTGATGGGTGACAATGACAGCAGAGATGTGGCAGGAGCTTCTGTCACCAGCACATGGCTGGTACAACCCCTTCCTCTCACTCACCCCACTCACTGCCCTGTCCTGGTCTTCACCCACGTGGAGGCACCAGGAACAGGAGCTGAGCTGGCAAGGGAGCAGAGGAGGAAAGGTGTTGGCACCCAGCTGCTGTGGGAATGGCTGCAGGGAGGACAAGGAGCTGTGGAGTGAGGGGACAAGGTAGGGCTGACAGCCCAGCAGGGAGGGATGAGCAGCTGCTGGTGCAGAGGTGATGGGCATCCTGCCTGAAACCATCTGCTGCCGCCAGTGAAACAACTGCAAGGTGCACATGCTCCCAGGCACAGCAAACACTTGTCTGTTCACTGGTTTTCAACCCAGATCGCTCGACAGAACATTTCTGAGAGAGCAGTGTGGCCCCCAGGTAGAAAATCTCCTGATTCTGTGCCAACTATGCACGAGCAGGGGCAAAACCTGCTCTGAAGTGTCCATCCACAAAGTCTCAGAAGGTGGGGTATTCCCTTTGCAGGAGCTGGGTGAGCAAATGCACTTTAGTGGGGCACATCTGAGCTAAAAGGGGTCCCCTGACATAGCTGAGAGGGATCTGATGCTCTGGGCTGCTGAAATATCCTGGTGGGTGGTTGGGAGGGGAAGTGCCACACTGTTATGCTCACAGGAGCTCAGGTCAGGGTGCCACAGCTGACAGCTCCACAGCAAAGCCTTTGCTTGGGATGCTCCCTCCAGCTGACTGGGATGCAGCAGAAGTTCAAGGTGATACCCAGCTTGGTGTGACACAGTACTGCAGACCTCACCCAGGAGCTGGGGTCTTCTAATTCCCCCTGCCACGAGGACAAAACCAGCCTGCTCTAACAAGATCAACAAACACAGACATCCTCAGGACCTCATCATGAAAGGGCTTTATCCAGGCACATTTCACCTGAGGTACTTTAAAGACCTGCTTCAGGATGAGACTAACCTTGTCTCAGAAGTGACAATTTCTGGGGACTGGAAAGAGAGAACAGGTCAAAAGTAATAAAGGTACAAATGTCTCTCCCCAGAGCCAAGGCTCACTGCTTTGGGCTCAGTTCCCAGCCAAAATTCTAGTCCACAGCTTTCATCATGAACTTAATTCCTGCTGAATTTTGTCTTTAGGATGCCTTTGAGTGATTTTCTGCAGCAAAGATGCAACAGTCTGCTGACTGTTCTGAGCTGCCCATGCAGACCCTCACAGAATCTGTCTCTCATTGCTTTGTCTCATGAACAGAGGAGTAGCTGACCATCTTCCATCAAAAAGGTCTGCTGTGAAAATACTGAATTTGAAAATATTGAATACTGAAAATATTGAATAAAAGCCTGCGAAGTTCTTCCCTGCTGCTGCTGAAGCTGAGGAATTATTGAATGGAGTGGGATAGAGTAAAAAAGAAAAAAAAAGAGTAGGTTTAGATGAAATATTAGGAAGAAATTCTTGCCTATGAGGGTGAGAGGCCCTGGCACAGGGTGCCCAGAGAAGCTGTGGCTGCCCCTGGATCCCTGCCAGTGTCCAAGGCCAAGTCAGACAGGGCTTAGATCAATCTGGTCTAGAGGAAGGTGCTCCTACCATGGCACTGGATGAGCTTTAAGGTCCTTTCCAACCCAAACCATTCTGTGATTCTCCTGATTTCACAAGCACACACAAGACACGCTGTGGCTGGTGCCACCAGTGCCTGTCCTAAATGTGGCACCAGGCAAGCAGAGCCACTGGTTCTGATGGAAGAGCTCCTCACGGGCTCCAGCTCTGGCCTAGGCTCCAAGATCTTTTCAGGGATTTGAAGTGCTACTTGTACTGCAAATGTGCTAAAAGGGCAGAGTGCCTGGCAAGGAGGAACATCAACAAAAGATAAAAATAAAAAGGTGAAATGCCTATAGTGAAGAACCGCAAATATAAGAAATAAATTATTCTACCCCAGCCTGGCTTTCTGTCACCATCTGGAGCCAAAAGGGATTAAAAACCAAGATAAACCTCAAAGAGGGGAAAAAATCTGCCTCTTGACCCTGCCTGATATAAACAGACTGCAAACTCTGGACTGTGGTGACTGTGAAACACAAACATGCCACAACTCCTGAGTCCATTTTCAGACATCCACGTGGCTGTTTGGCACTAATTCCACCTTCCTAACAAAAAAAAAGCTGCAAGTTCTTGTTTCCACTCATTTGTTTGAAAACTTTCAGGATTTCACTCCCTATATAGTCAGAAGCATTACAGATTTTAAGTACATTTTGACCCATACTGACTTTACTTGTTCTAGTTGATTTTTGGATGTTCCTTTCCTTTTCCCTTTAATTTTTTTTTTTTTTTGAAAAAAAAAGTACTTTTTGTGCCCACACTCCAATAATTTCAGTCATGACATATTATGGTGGATGAAGAAAAACTAGACAGCTGCAAAGAGAGGCAAAGATGATCTGATGTGACTGCCAAGCAAAAAGAAACTAAATAGATTAAGACAACAGGGGGAACAGGGAGAAAAGGTGGTAGAGGATATCTGACAGACAGCTCCATAATTCCCACTGTGGGAAGACTGTGACTGAGTCTTTTTACACTGTTAGGAGGGAACAATTAAATTATCAGACAACAGAAGCAAAATTACTTTTCCTGTAGTGCAGAGACTGCAGAAGTCTCCCATAAATTGCACCAGCAGTGGTAGGTGCATATATGGACCTGGTGAACATGGCAGAAGCTAAATAATCTGCTTTTTAACTTACATTTTCTACATAGCACTGCTTAATTAAATAGTGAATAATGGAAACACTTTGCTAATGGAAAGATTATTTCTTGTATCTGGTGCTTCTCAGGGCAGCCTGCAGATTTTTTTGGCTGTTTTGGAGCCTTCCCTGAATGCAAATTCTGGACATTATTTTCACTTTTGATTTAAAGTAATTCCTTCTTTCACACCAACACCCTGGATTTTTCAGTTCAGTATATTTATTAATTACTTTCCTCCCCTTCCTGAGGTCTGTCTTCCTAAAAGTCAAAGTCTGTGACTATTTGAATTCTAAAACCCCACCTGAACATGTAATTGCTCAGTCTGAGATCACTATATAAAAGAAGCTCCTGTAAAATCATCTACCTGATAAACCAAATTTCAGTTAGCTTCCCTCTTGTTGGATATTTGATGAAGAAATCTGGCTATCATGTTTTTATACCAGCTTCCTATTGAAGGGCTGTTTTTAACAGCTGCCTCAATCTCACCTCCAGCAGGCTGATTATACAAAGAGAATTTTTCTGGACACGAAAATTCCCAGTTAAATGTGGTCCTGTGTTCCCTAAGGTACCTGATGGTCATCATGAAAATCTCATCAGTATTTGAGCCCTCTCAGCTGGGAACACAGAGGTTCCCCTGATGGCCTGAGCTGTTTCCATGAATAGTCCCTCCAGCTCAACACCATCCTCCTCCTTTTCCACACAGAACAATCCTGATCCTTTGTTACAAACAGATGAAAAATGTAATAATCTTTCTGTAACTCACATCCAGACTCTCTTCACACTCAATTCCCAACCTTTTTTTGTTTCCAGCACACAGTGGGTCTTTTCCTTCCTCTCCAGCATGCCTCCTTCTTCCTCTGCTGAGGACAGACATGCCTCCCCACAGTGTCAGAGCTGCTCTCCTTGCTCTCTTTAATTTCACACCAACTTTCCCTTTTTCTTGAATGCCTCCTGCTTTTATTTCTGTCAAATTTCATTATATATTACTTCCTTTGAAGCAGCTTCCCCCTCTTTTCCCTTGCTATCATAATTCTGCTTGCCTTCCCATCCTCTCCCTTAGCATTCCTATTTCTCAATTGCATTTTTAATGTTCCAGGTGGTTCTTTCTTCTACCTCTGGTCACATTCTAACTGCCTCTTTCTTGGATTACCTGATGTCAAAGGCTGCTGACACCTCATGTGAATGTATCTGCTCACCATTACTGCCTGTGACACTTTGCACTTCCCCACATCCCTAGCAAGAAAAAAAGGTGAGAGGGAGAAACAAAACAAATAACAAATGAAGCAACTATCTGCAAGTTCTGCCCAACTGAACTGCACCCTGAGAAGAGAAGGCTCTGGGGAGAGCTCAGAGCCCCTTCCAGGGCCTAAAGGGGCTCCAGGAGAGCTGGAGAGGGACTGGGGACAAGGGATGGAGGGACAGGACACACAGAATGGCAGGGATGGATGGGAGATTGGGAAGGAATTGTTCCTGTGAGGGTGGGCAGGCCCTGGCACAGGTGCCCAGAGCAGCTGTGGCTGCCCCTGGATCCCTGGAAGTGCCAAGGCCAGGCTGGATGGGGCTTGGAGCCACCTGGGATAGTGGAAGGTGTCCCTAGACAGATGGCAAAAGGGACTGGAATGAGATGATCTTCAAAGTCCCTGCCATCCCAAACCATCCTGTGGTTCTATAACCAAGCTCAAGCCCAAAGTGACGTCTTTTTAAAACATCCTCTAGGAAACTCTGCCTATGCTCCATGTGAACAAATTGCTTCTGTACTTTTCACACAAAATTATTTCCCTTCTAAACATCATCTCCACTCTGCTTCTCTCCTGTTTATGCTTTTTCCTTGAATCTGCAGCTTAAAACCTTCTTGGTTCCCTCTGAACAGACAGCCTTTGTGCAATCCAACTCACACAAGTGAGAGCTGGAGAAGCCTGGAAAGTGTGGCTGAACACTAAAGAAACGTTAAATGTTCATTAAGAACTTGTAGCATATCTTTTATGCAGTTTAAGCCTTAACATATTTAAGGAATATCTAAACTGGGAAACAGCAATTGCAATAAATATTTAATTTGATAGCCAAGTGCTAGTTACCTTTCTCGAACAAACTCTGCCATTTCTTTCTGCATTTGTTTCCCTTTAAGTTGCTTTTGAAGAAGAATTTCAAATCCCGACACTGTGTTGTTCCCTTGTGAGTCCTTCTTATCTGCCTGAAAGAAATAAAAGGAAGTTCAACAAAAAGCTTTGGAGGCCAAACCCACAGAGATGTGGCTCCCAGCAGTGGTGCCTGAGGAACCCTCCCTTGAGAGCAGCTGGTGGCTACAGCACCTCAGACCCTCTCAAAGAAATAGCCCAACACTCTCCTGCTCCTCTTACTCCTTTTTTTTAATTTAAAAAGGGAAGTTTTACAATTATCTTTAGCCAGCAAAGGATGCTGTGGGGGCAGAGCAGCAGCCCTGCTGTCGTTTCTGCCCACCACCCTTCACACTGGGGAAGTGTCAGCCCCAAGGGCTCAGCCTGCCAAAAGCAGGAACCCTGGAACAAGGGAACACTCCTGGGGCAGAGGGGAGGACAGGGCTGCTCCTTCCAGGGGGACACAGCCCTAAAACACCTTTAGCAGCCTGCCAAGCTCAACTGTGAGTTGTACTAAGGAAAACAGAGCCAGCCTGCAGGGATCTGCTGTCAAACAAGGCAAACTTGTCCCACAGATTGCCACCACACACCCCATTCCTCACTGCCTGCTTCTCACACAGCCCCTTGCTCCACTGGCTTCAAGAACCAACACTGTTCTCTCTGCTGCCTCTTTTCTCTCTGCTTTCCTGTTTCATTTCTCACCCTCTCCCAGCAGAGAATTCTCAGAGAACATTTCCCTCAGTGCTGCAGGTTTTGCTCTGATTCCCCACGTGCTGCACAAGCAGCCAGAGGGAAATGCCACACTAATCAAAGCAGGAGACTGGCAGGATGCCCTGCCAGGCACCAGCAGGCTGAGACAGTGGGAGAAGTGGAGATGATGGAAGAAGGAGAACGAGCTGTGGGCAGACCATGACAAGGCCAAAGAGGAAATTCCTGCAAGCAGAGTTATGGGAGGATAAAAGTCTGCAAGTATGGAGCTGTAAGTAGTTTCACTGAAATCAAGATATGACCAACCCATGGAACCAAGCACTGGCTGAGCCTGAATAGGGAGGAACAAACAGGGCAGGAACTTTTGTGAGACACGTGCAAAAAAAACAGTCTGTACACCATTAATGATTTAGGGCCCACTGGGATCAGAAGACTGGAAGAAACTGAAGAAATTTTGTGGTAATGTGACCATTTTCAAATATGTCAGTGTATTTTAGCAATGCCCTGCCATCAGCCCTGAGCAAGCACAAGGGGACATGCTGCTGGACCTCCAATACTGACACTTTTTTTTTAAAGGGAAACACTTCAATCACTAGTAGCTGAAAACACACATCAGATTCCTAAAAGCTTCACTGCTGATTCCTTTTGTAGTATTGTTGATTCCACTGTGGTTTTCCTCTCACTGCCCAGAAAAATATTCAGGTGGAAGAAAAAGTTTTCCACTGGAAGACCATTTTCTATCAGCTCCACACTCCAAGGACTACTGCATCATTTTCATGTGATTCAGGAGCCTGAAAACAGACCTGAGCACAAGGGGGCACACACAGAACCAGACTCTGGATGCTCCAGGCTGCATTAAAACTACTCAAGCTATAAATTGGCCTGTCCTTCACAAACCTCACCCTACAAAGAATGCATTTATTATCTGACCTCTGGAATACCCTGTGGAGGGAGCTGTACAATTTAACAAGGAGTTTTTAACTATCTGCTTGCTTTAGAAGGGGCACCCCCTGCTTCCTTGTGTATCCCTGGCTCTCATGCTCTGGAAACCACTGGAATCATATTCCCTGCCAGCCACCTTGCTATCCATGGACCTGGGGGTCTGCTGGAGGGAGTCCAGAGGAGGCCACTAAGCTGGAACACATCTGCTCTGGAGACAGGCTGAGAAACTTGGGGCAGCTCAGCTCTGGGGAGAGCTCAGAGCCCCTTCCAGGGCTTAAAGGGGCTCCAGGAGAGATGGAGAGGGACTGGGGACAAGGGATGGAGGGACAGGACACAGGGAATGGCTGCCACTGCCGGAGGGGAGGGATGGGTGGGATACTGGGAAGGAATTTTTCCCTGTGAGGGTGGGGAGGCCTCAGAGCAGCTGTGGCTGCCCCTGGATCCCTGGCAGTGCCCAAGGCCAGGCTGGATGGGGCTGGGAGCAGCCTGGCACAGTGGAAAGTGCCCCTGCCCATGGCAGGGGGTGAGACAGGGTGGGCTTTAAGATCCCTTCCTTTAAGATCCCTTCCAACCCAAACCAGTCTGGAATTCTGTGATTCTATTCCCTTCCTCCAGCACTGCCCTTTTGCCTGTGGTATTTTGAAATATGTGGCTTCTCCTACATCCTCCCTATTTCCTGAGCAAATCCATCTCCTGAGAACTGCCCTTGCCTTTCTTTCTTTGATCATCAGCCACATCTCAGACTGGTCAGATGTTTCCAGGAGATCTTCCCTGGCATCCCCAGTCTCCCTGGTACTCCCTGAACACATTGTATCTCAGCCCAAATTCTCCTTTACCTTGTACCACAAATCAAGCTGTTTATTCCACTTTCTTGGAAGCTCTGGAGCTGCATGTGGCATGTGGCTGGCTGCCCACTTACCCAGAAATAATCACAGTAGCTCCACTCTGAAGGTTTCAGCAACTGCTGCTCTGGCATTACGTCAGGGTGGGGGAAAGTCACACAGTTGATCTGTTAAAAAAAAAAAAAAAAAAAAAAAACAAAGCCAAAAAAAAAAGGAGAGTTAGACAGTAATGAAATTTAGCTGTTAATGAGAAATACGTAAATAAAAAGTTATATCCATCAGAAAATCCGCAGTGAATGCATGGCAGGGAAGAAAAACTGGTTGTTGCATGGAAACAGCAGCTAAGTATTCCCAGAATGCTACTCTCTGCAGACAGGAGTGCTGGCTCAGAGGGAAATAAAATACCCATTTCACATGAGGAAAACCTACTGGATTTGGAAAGCACCACGCAGGGAGATCTCCCAGATCCCTGAAAACTGTGGTGAAAAACCTGATGTGAAACACCCTGAGCACAGAAACACAGCGAGCACCAGAGAGCACTGCAGGCACTGTCACTGCAAAACACCCTTGGCTATGCCAGTCTCCTACAGGATGACAAAACCAGGAATCATTTTTTCAGTGCACAGCCCTTCAATCTATCTCTGAGACCTTTTCAGATGGAAGTGATGCTCTGTGTGGAAAGGAGCAGGGGCTCTCTGGAGTCAGTGAACCTTCAGTGCTCACAGTGATCTGTCAGACAGGACTCATCACACGCTCATTAAACAACAGCATTAAAAAAACCCAAGCACTCATTAAGTTATCCCAGTGGAACACTGCAGCCTGGTAACAGCACAGTGAAGGCAATGAGCACCACAGCTACTGCAGAACATGCTGCAGAACAACCCTGGACACAGCTGAGCCTTCCAGAGCAAGCACCAGGCAGAGTCAGAGCTCACTGCCAGTTTGTAATGCTCACCCCAAATCCCTGCTGGGCAGGTACCCTAAAATCAGCCCCTCTCAGGGTCATGGGAACACGAAGAGCACTTGAGTACCAATCAAGGGATCAGGAGATATTGGGGATGGGATGTCACAGATGTAACAGTATGGGGGTGGGGGTTTGTTTTGGATCAGTTAACTCTCACAGGAAATCCACACAAATCTGTGGGTAGGGTTAGCACAGCTGCACAGGCAGACCCAAAGGCACGCAGTGAATCTGCCTTTGGGCTATTCAGAGAGGATCACAAAGGATGTGGGTGCTGACACAGCACAAACCCACCACGCCAGAGCAGAGCAGACAAAACCTTCAGCTGATACAAGCTGCTCCTACAAACACACACTGGTTCTGCTGCCTCTGCCCAGGCTGGAGGTTCAGCAGCTCCCCTGTAACAGTGCAAGAGCTTGCTCCACATAAATCACCCTGCCCAGAGCAGGCTGAGGACCCTGAACCTCTGGTGTCTTTGGCTGTCACCTCAACTAGATCCTAAACCATGTGTTTTGCTTTCCAGCTCCCCCCAGGCTCCAAACTGACGTGCAGGGCAGAAATCTGGGCTTTGCAGGCAGTGGCCATGCACTGGTCACCCTGCACCTCCAACCAGAGCCAGCCTCTCCAGCCAGAGGCAGGATGTCCAGTCAGAGCCAGCACCTCCAGCCAGAGCAAGAATGTCCAGCCAGAGCAAGAATGTCCAGTCAGAGCCAGCACCTCCAACCAGGGCTGGCCTCCACTGGCCACAGGGTCCCAAGCACAGACAGCACTGCAAACACCTTCCCTGTTCCCTTGTGTTCCCCAGCAGAAGAGTCATGCATCAGCTCAGTTCAGAGCAGGATGGCCAGGCTGTAACCAACTGCACCTCCCAAGTGTGTTCTGCAGCCTTTAACAGAAGTCTGGGCATCACAGAATATCCTGAGTTGGATCATTGTATTGTGGTACTGCACACCAGGACAGGGAGGTGATCTGCAGTGGGGGGCACAGGAGTTGTATCCTGCAGCTTAAAAATCTGCAAAGAGAAACAGCATGGGAAATTCCCATTCCCTGCTAAAGGCAGTGCCTGTTCCACAAAATCTGAATCTGTGTCAGTTGGAAGCTGCTGATTAGAGATGTGACAGTGAGTCTCAGTGTCCTGAAGCAATAACCACAGAGTCACTGGAAATGCCAAGGCTGGACTGGTGACAGTGTCTCACTGCAGTGGACAGAACTCCAGGAATGCAGCAGGAAGTGAACAGTGAGTGTGCACATCAGCAGGTGATGAAAGCAGGGTTAGTTCAAGTGTTTCTCAAAGTTTTAGGAATAAATCAAATTATTCTTCACTTCTCCAAAGATGGAATTGTCTGGAAATGATGCTGAATTGTCTGGAAAGAGTCATGAGGCCATTTGGGTCTAGTATCACTTTTAAAATGGAATTGGTGCCAGAACCAAAAAATCAAAAATACAGAAGCTTTTACAACCTTAAAAACAAAAAAAAAAAACAAAAAAACAAACAAAAAAAACCCAAAAAAGTGTTACAGTAAACAGAACTTACATCTTTCTACACTAAGTCCCACCAGGGGGCACGAAAATTTTCTAAACTCTATAAATACTACTAAAAATTCCATATGACTACATAGGTAATCCTGTGATCTTTCTTCCTTTCATTACCCCAGATTATTTATACTTAAACAAGAGCTCTTGGATTGGTATTTCTCAGTATTTCTAAAACCTCTCAGGATTTCCCAGCAGGAGGGGAACGCCAGGCTGGCACTGAGCAGCAGTGTGGCATGACTGTGGCATTCCCCCCTCCCAATCCTCCCTCTGAAATGCTCCTTTTCTTGCTTCTAAAAGCAAAGAGAGCTGAAAAAAAAACCACTCTGCTTCACCAGCTTGGTCCCACTGATGAGCTGAGTAATGTAAGGTCAGCCAAAGCACCTCATGATGATGTCCCCATGTTTGACAGCTCCATCAGTCCCATGGACAGTGACATTCCCTCCATGCCAAGGAGCACTGCCCTCACTAATTTCGAGAGACCACACTTTGCTCACATCCCTGGGAGCTGTCTAAGCTCCATGCAAGCTCCAAATCCAGACCTATGGCACTGTGGATATTTTAATAATGCTGACTTGCCAGCAAGGCCTAACAAAAGCTTGCAGAAGGTGATTATTACAGCTGTAATTGCCAGGAAGAAACAAAACAAATTAAAACATGTCTCTCAGATAATGATGGAATCACAGAACACGAAGAGAAAACAAGGTGTGATGACCTGCATTGCATTCCCACAAGCTCCCCTGGGACAGCTGAGGTGATAATCAGCCTCACCATGATATTAAGTTCTTATGCAGCCTCTTTGTCAAAATAATGGCTATTGTCAGCTTGCAACAAAGCAAAATTAATAACAAGACAGCAGCAGGGCAAAACCCCGAGGAAGAGCTGAGCAAACCTGCCAGAGGACAGCAGCTTGTATTTCCAGCTGCCACTGGCCAGGAGTGGCACCAGAAAATCTGTCTGGGAGCCACTGGATTAAAGAGGACAGAAGATTCAGAGTCAGAGAAGGAGAAAAAAACATGGTGACAAACAAAGCTTGGTGGAGGACACACACATTGGGCATCAGAGAAGCAGCACAAATGCATTTCTCTTGACAAGCTGTGTGCCAAACTCAATGGATTAAAATACTTTTGCCTGTGTACTGATCATGAGCAAATGCAATTATACTCTCTGAACAGCTGAATATTCCAGCTCCTATTTCCCACGAGTACACTGGCAATAATGACAAAAGGAGCTGTTTATGTTGTAGAAGAGTCTTAATTATGTCTGAGACACAAAAGGGTGGCAGAAGAGGAACAGACCCAGGGAGCCAGGTGAATGCACAGGAACAACAAACTTTGTTGGGCTGGACATGCACATTAATCTCCTGGATTTCAGAGTCTCTACAGACTTTGAAGTCACTCACCAGTAAATGAGACATTGCCAAGCAACAGGAATAAAGCAAGAATAATTTGATCAAAGCTTAGATAATCAACTACACGTTTATTACATCAGATACAACATAAATAAATGAGCAGAGAGCAGAACTTACTGTGCCACACTCACGTGACTAAAGCAGGGCAACATTTTTGCTCATCTCTTCAACTTAAAAATGCACATTATTTTTTTTTTTATTTCTACACATTCTCAGCACCTTAAACACAGAAGAGATGTGCCAGATTGCCACACTTCAGTATCTTCTTTACAATTTCAGTTGAGACCCAGAAAGTACAACATCCAACACTGAGTTCATATGGCAAATGGAACTATTTGGGTAAAAAAAGCCAAATGCAAAGGCTGGAGAAGATCTCAGAAGAGCTTGGGCAGCCTGAACTCTCTCCAGGCAGGGAAGCCCAGAAATGCCTGGGCTATGTCTGGGCAGCTTCAACACCATGAGTTTGCCCTGGGTTTTAGCTCTGGTAGGGTGATGCTGCAGCTGTGGTACCACAGAAGGGAAGAACAGACAATTCAAGTGCTCACTGTTAACAAAGCCATTGATTCCTTCCTATTTCAAAGGAGAGATTCTGCCAAAAGTGTGGAGGAGCCCTCTTTACTTGGTCTATCTGCAGAAAGGTTCAGAGATTATTCCGGCCCCTGCCCAACCAGGGCTTTTCTGACAGTATCTACCAAAGTCAGGCCCAGGGCAGAGGGGGGAACTGTGCAGCCTCATGCTGTGCTCATCACAACCCTGGGTGTGTCACACTTGCCAGACACAGAGCACAGCAGCAGGAAATCCCAGTGCACAGGCTGCCCATCTTCCCATCTGCACGTGTTCACTGACGTGGCCAGCACATGCAATCCAAACACCAGCGTTTTCAAGGTCCTGCACTATCCTAACAAGGCACCAGAGAATTTTTAGAATTTAAATTTTTAGAATTTTAGAAAGAAACCCACACTCAGAAATACCTTATAATCAGGCAGCTTTCCTGCTCTTCCAAGTAAGACACAGCTCTGCTCCTCAGGTGAAATCCCCCTGTACATTCTCCATTTCACTCTCCCTCACCTATTGCAAATATCTCCAGCTTCCACAGACCAGAGACTTCAGGAATCAGCCAACAAACCATCCAGCCTTACAACAGCAAGTGCACCTTGAAATTAATTGTAAAACTAGCACAGACCACACAGCTGCAGTTTCATAACGGCCTCTGATACAACCAGCTGGAGTTTCTCTTCCAAAGATGGAAGACCATGTCAGTAACATTCACTGACCAAAGAGAAAACACCAGATTATTCTTGTTGGTTGCACACAGATGGGAAATATTCCAGCTCCCCCTGCCTTCAGGGTTTCCAGAAGCTGTGCTACTAAATGCCACTTGGATGCAGAGGAGGCAGATGCATCCTGAGGAAGATGCTCCCACTCCTCTGCTGAAGGCAGTGACGCAGCAACAGCTTGGCTGGACATCACCTGATGTCTGCAGCTTGTGTGCCACAGGATTTCGGTTTGAAGGGAGGTTTCCTGGACCAAAAGCTTTGAAGTAAATCACAGAATTCCCCTCTGCAAGAAGAGGCTGTCCCTGAGCACAGCTACAGACCAAGAAAAAGCATCTGACAGCAAGCTAAGGACATGCCCTGCAGCTCTGCTAAGCAGAACATCCCCACGTCAGCTTGAGTGGCACTGAGCACACAGAACCTCCTAGGAAACAGTGAAAACACACTGTTTTACAGTTTACACTCCTTATGAGATTTTTCACAATGCTGCCTTGATGGAGGCAATGGCTTGGAGCAAACAGCTGTTAAAATTAGCTTATTTTTGTCTATCTGATTCATCCTACTTGAAAGCTTTGGGCTTCTGCTGGAGAAACGCACACCCAGCGACCCTGACATAACACACAGTTTGCTCTGCAGATGTTACCTGATGGCACATGGGCCAGCAAATATGGAAAGCCACCCTCAGAGAACAGCCTGAGCCCTGTGGGCAGCAGGGATTGCAGAAAACAAGCTCTCCTCCTCCTGTGCTCATGCAGCTCAGTGCACCCCACCCTGGGTGACCATGCCTAGTCCCTCTGGACATGATGCTCAGCCCATGATTTACCCCAGTCCCCCAATCTGAGCAGTCAGGAGCTGCATTCAAGGGCTGGGACATGTCTCCTGCCCCAGCCAAAGCAGCCCTGGAACAGCTGATTCTCCCAGACATCTGCAAAAATGTCTGAACATACAGATTTGTACTTGCTTCAAAGCACACCGCACTCTCAATAAACCAATTTCCAGTACTAACATTGGTAACAACCTATTTTTATAACTAAAATCACTGATTGAAGTGGCTTTTTTTACAAAAACTGTTGAAGATTTCCCCCTCCTGCCCCAGAACACTGTACCTGCATGGCAGTGGCTGACTCACATCTCAGGCAGAGGCACTTCTATGTGCTTCTTTTGACCCTGGTCTGTCACCAGCAACCCAGCCCATTAATGAATAAATCTGCAGGTTGCATGTGACAATGCAGACAACAATCTCCTCCTCATAGTAACACTAGCAAGGATGTATAATATTAAATTATTCCTTTTGTTCTCAGGGACTTGATACCCTGCCAATACTTGCAGCTGCAAGAATTGCCTCTCCTTTATTGCTGAAAATTAATTTATCTGTTCATTTCTTCTGATTTCCATTTAAATAAAACTTTCCATTACTAGCAATTCTCACTCATCTATTTTGATTTCCCTTCTGGTTTTAATCACCTGTCCTGCACTGAAGAGCCCGTAAGTGCTAATTGTGTTCCAGATGAGGTCACCAAGCACACTAAAGTTATCAATGTCTGTAAACTGAGATACATCACACAACTGAGAACATTTCCATTCATAACACAGAATCATAGGATGGTTTGGATTGGAAGGAACATTAAAGCCCATCTTGTACACCCCTCTGCCATGGGCAGGGACACCTTCCACTATCCCAAATTGCTCCAAGTCCCTTCCAGCCTGGCCTTGGACACTTCCAGGGATCCAGGGGCAGCCACAGCTTCTCTAGACAGCCTGTACCAGGGCCTCCCACCCTCACAGGGAACAATTTCTTCCTACTAGCTAATCAAAATCTTCTTTCTTTCAGTTTTAAACCACTGTTCCCTGTCCTGTCACTACATGTTCTTGTAAAAAGTCTCATCATTGAGCCAGTTATACTCAATTATAAAGAATAAAACTAAATGTAAGATTAACTTGATACTGAAATATAAAATCTTTGCCTACACTTTCCACCTAGAAATCTTTACTTGGACACTCTGGCACAAGAAACCTCCTTGACACCTCAAATACAGACTGGGAAAAAAAAGATCCTGCTCTGTCTTCCTCTAACTCTTCAGTACTTCTCCCAGTACAGACGCTGTTGTGGAGGGGGGATGATCAGATGAGGAAGTTTTTTCAGGACACCTGGTTCACAGTCCCAGGCACCTCATTCCCTCCTGCTCATCCCGGAGTCACCATGATTCCACGGACAACCGCGCCCGGGCTCCAGCGCAGGGCAGAGATCCCAACCCCTCCGTGGGTTTAGCGGCGGCTGAACACCAAAACGCCGCGGGGGCAGGATGCTCCGGCACGGGGTGCTCAGCACGGAACCCCCGCGGTCCCAAAGCCCCGGTGCCCGGTGCTCAGCATGGAATTCCCGCAGTTACCCAGCTCACTGCCCGGTGCTCAGCTCGGAATCCCCGCGGTTCCCCAGCCCCGGTGCCCGGTGCTCAGCATGGAATTCCCGCAGTTACCCAGCTCACTGCCCGGTGCTCAGCACGGAACCCCCGCGGTTCCCCAGTCCCACTGCCCGGAGCCCCGTGCTTCCCCAGCCCCGGTGCCCGGTGCTCAGCATGGAATTCCCGCAGTTACCCAGTTCACTGCCCTGTGCCCAGCACGGAATCCCCGCGGTCCCCCAGCCCCAGCGCCCATCACGGAATCCCGCAGCCCCGGTGCCCAGACGCAATCCCCGTGGTTCCTCAGCTCACTGCCCGGTGCCCAGCACGGAATCCCCGTGGTTCCCCGGCCCCGGTGCCCTCACGGAATCCCGCAGCCCCGGTGCCCACACGGAATCCCGCAGCCCCGGTGCCCACACGGAATCCCCCGGCCCCGGGCCCCGCTCTCACCGTCAGGCTGCTCTCCTTGCTCTGCCGCCGCGGCGCCGCCGGGGAGCCCGGGCTCTGCGGAGGGAAGCGGAGCGCATCATCGCGGCTGCTCTCGGAGCCCAGCATGGCTGCGCGGGGCGGGGAGAGGCGGGTCCCATGGCACGGCTCGGCTCGGCTCGGCTCGGCCCGGGAGGCAGGGATGGAGGGAGGGGAGCTGCGGGAGGCCCCGGCTGGCTGCTCCGCCTCTCTCGCCTCCGCCGCACCGAGCGCGGCGCCGGGGCTCGCTGTGCCGTGGGACGGTGGCACTCGCTGGCGGGGGTGGGAAGAGTGCCCTGCCACGCCTGGGATGGTGGTGTCACACCCCCCTGAGGACAGGGACAGCAGTCTTGGTGTCCCGTGGGTAGCACTTTGCTCTGCTAAGTACGAGAACGGGGACGGGGATGGTGACATCCACTGCTGGGGACAGCGATGGATGCTGTCCTGTGTCCCGTGTTCTGCCATCAGGCAGTTCCTACCTTTCTGCGGAATGGTGGCATCATATCCCCCTGGGGACAGGGACACAAATGTGCCCCAGAGGCCCCCCAGGGGGGCAGTGCCCCCTGTCTCTGTCGCAGGTCCCTGGAGGGGCTCAGATGCTGTGACTGCTCTGCAGCCCGTGAATTGCTCCTGGCATCATTTGGGACTCCCACCCCAAATCCCACTGTCTGGGAACCTGGTGCTCGTCCTGGGACTCGACACCCAGCAGCAGCAGCAAGGTGCCAGCACCACGCACGTGCAGTTCCATGGCTGTTCTGCTGTCCCCTTGGTGGCAGTTGTGACAACTTGAACGGGCAGCATTTAGCTGCTCTCTAGGAAGCCATAAACAAGGTCTGGCCGTGTGCCCAGCACTGCATAGTTCCGTGTTGTTCTCAGTTGTGGCTTTTCCCCCCACCCCCTGACCTGTTTCCAAGAAATGTGGCTGAGCTTGCTGGAGGGATCTTGCCAGCATTTGTTTGCATGGTGGCTGCTGCCCAGGTCCAAGAAAGCATCCTGGCCGAAGCCTAGGAGCTGCTCCACAGTGGGAGACAGCCCGTGCCAGGAACAGACAAGGAAGCAGTCAAAGCAGAGCAGCTCAGGATGGCCCAAGACACACAAGGAGAGAGAGAGACAGGCCAAAAAGACTTTGAGGGTATGCAGAACAGCTTCTTGCAACCACAGGTTTATGGTCAGATGCTTTCCTTACTAAGGACTCTCCTGCAAAAGCTGCCACAGCCCCCAGGAAAAGCAGCTTCCCAAGCAGGCGTAGACACAAGCTGTCCTGAGAATTAATGCCACCAGCAGCCAGTTAGGGATTCAGAACTAATTCAAAGCAGGTTCAAAGCAGGGATGAAGCCAGGAGCTCAGTTTGGAAAAACCTGTAATAAAGGAGCAGTGGAAAAAAAGTACCATGGAGGTGATGAAGGGAATGAGAAAAGCCATGAAAGGGATCTCTGACAGGCTGATGCTTGAGTCAGCTGAGCAAAGCACTGCAAAGCACTGAAAGGCTGAGAGAGCCTGGAGAAGAGAAGGCTCCAGGAAGACCTCAGTGGAAACTTTCAGCTCCTGAGGTCAGTCTACAAAAAGCTGGAGAGAGATTGTGGACAAAGGCCTGTAGTGATAGAAAAAGGGGGATGGCTTCCCACTGCCAGAGGGCAGGGTTAGATGGGATATTGGGAAGGAATTACTCCCTGTGAGGCTGGTGAGGCCATGGCACAGGGTGTCCAGAGAAGCTGTGCCTGCCTCTGAATCCCTGGAAGTGTTCAAAGCCGGGCTGGATGGGGCTTGAAACAACCTGGGATAGTGGAAGGTGTCCCTGCTCATGGCAAGGAGTGGCACTGGATGGGCTTTAGAGTCTCTTCCATTCTGTGACTCTGTGACTCCTCACGTATCTCAGATGTGAATTTGAGTAAAAAGGTGTCTGTGAGTCTTTGAGTAAGACTCAGCACTGTAAAAACAGAAGGTGGCAAATGTTGCTACAAAGGAAGTTCTGCAGATGTTAGTTAATCTGACTGTGTTCTAAGCCAACTACAAAAACATGGGAGTCAGATGCCTTGAGAAATTAATTTAAATTTTTTTTTTTTTGCGCAAGGATTCACCAGGGACTTTTTGAAGCCTACAGGTTTATTTGGGTTCTCTGAGGGAGTCATGGTAGATGTGTGGACAGGGGTGTCTGGTAATGCACTATGTAAGATTCTAAAATGCTTTTGACCTAGTTTAGGTGCTCACTGTCTCCAGCCCAGGCAAATTGCTCAGAGAAACAGCAGCACAGGGAATTAGTACAAGATGTTTGATGTGGAAGAAACAGGGAATCCAAAGAGCTGGACTGTATCATGAGAAATGCCATGAATCTAAACCAGGACCTAGGTGAAAAGCTGAAGGGAACTATTTAAGAGGCAGCATGTGAGAAAAAAGAGTCAAGGCAAAGCGGGAAAGTTTTCAGACAGCACAAAACTTAGATCAAGAAACAGAGAATGTCAGAGACAGTGAGAGCACCAGACAGGCCAGGTCCACACGGCAGCAGCACACCAATCAACCATGCATTTCCCCAGGGGTATTTAGCACTGTGAAAGGACTCAGCACTTTCATACAGAAAGGAAACAGAAAACTCAGGGGAAAAGGCCAGAGGGTGGGGAAGCACAGCCCAACTGGAGTGTGATCCACCAGCTGTGGCAGTCACATAGTCATATGGTGATGCTTTGGCAGGGAGCAGAGTTTCATGGGAGGAGTTGGAAGAGGGCCCTGTGCTGCATCTGCAGACCTGTGGGGAAGAATTTCCCGGGGATATGATGTATTGCAAGCAAAAGTACAGAGATATTTATTGAAAATTTGGACAAAGGCAGGGGAGGCCAACTGTCCACAGGTCAGCATCCTGTAGGTTAACTCGGGGTGATGTGCTGGGTGAGGCACTGAGGAGGGGCTGTGAAAGGACAGGCCAGAGTGGATGAAGTCATTGAGAAAAAAGCTTTGGATGAATTCTTTGTGAATACTGTCTTTGGGAGGGAAGGCTGGAGCTGCAGGAAAATACAATGAGATACAGACATGGGCGGATGTGCAAGTGTAAAGAGAGGACTGTGCTGGACACGGGCCCAGGGCTCAGGCTGGAGTGGCAGGAAAATTCATGGGGTTGTTCACAGTGACTGAAGTGGCCTGGTGGATTTTTCAGAAAGGAGTGACAGGACAAAGAAATCCAAAGGATCTTGGTTTTTTTTACTGTTTTACCAGCTGAACACAAAGACTAACTATGCTACACACAACAAATCTGTCTGATGTGTGAGTTTCTAAAAGAAAATGACCTCTTGACTTCTTGCTCTGGGTGGATTCCTAAATTACTTAAGTAAAAACCCATTTATTCTTGGATCCTGCTGTTTGGCTTTTTCCCAAAACTTACCTGGGGGTCCCCACTGGGTTTTCGGAGGCTCATGTGACCTGAGTCGAGCTGGTGTACTGGGGACCCAGAGATGTAGTAGCCATTCACTGCAAGAACAAATGCAGAGTTAGCAGGCTTGCTGCTGACAGCCAATGACATTTAAGATTTTAAAATTAACCCCATAAGCACAAATTAAAAAACTAATCCCATAACTGAATATGCAGATATAGATCACAGTGTTTTAAGGCTTAGTTGTGTTTCTCATTACCCTACTGTGATTTGATGGGTAATAGATTAAACATTTTCCTGAGTGGAGTCTGTTTTGCCCCATGACCATAATGAGTGATGTCTCCCTGCCCTTATCCCAACCCTTTTGTTGTAGTTTTCAGCCCCATTCACCTGAGGAGGAGAGTGACAGAGTGGCTTGCTGGGCACCTGGCACCTGTTAAAAGTACTGCTCCAAGGGAGTTTTCATGTTAAGAAAGAAAGCCTTGTAAGATGTTTCTGGTTCCTGCATGGAACTATAAATTGCCTTTTTTTAAAAAATATACTGAGCAATGAATAATGCTCAAAGTAGTGTTGAAACAAGATAATCAACTACATTATAAATCCTTTGGTCACAATGAAGTGCACAATCTTCACACAGGCTACCCACCCAGTTCTGCCAATAAAGAGGGACATCAGTTCAAAAACTGCTAAGGAAAACATCTTCTAACCTGCTTTATTTGCAGTCAGCTGTCACCAATGGCCTTTACATTTAACACTTTTTATTCTAGAGTAATTTTTGCTTTGCTTTGCCATTCTGCAGTACCCTCGAGCTTTTCAGTACAATTACACATCTGACTTTGTTAGTTGCTTCCCTGCAACCTCAGATAAAGACAGAGACAATCTATATCTATGATCTATGGTCACCCCTGTAGCCATCACATGCTGAAACCCTTTGCTGTGCACATGCTCTGTGTGGAAGAGCATCAGCCAGCCCAGGTGTGTCTGCAGCTCTTTGATTTCCCTGCCCTGTCAGAAAACAAACTGAGGAAGTGCTTGTTGGGCCCCTCTTTGCCTCTGTGCTCCCAGAAGGAGCCATCCCAGCTCCTGAGTGCACACTTCAGACACCCAGACTGAAGAGGGACTGGCAGGGAAACAACAGTCCAGAAGATGTGCCAGGAGAGAAAGCCCCACCATGTTTGCTCTGCTACACTCTCACAAGCATGTAGGCTGGAGAAGAGAAGGGTCTGGGGAGACATTAGTCTGACAGGGATGTGGGAGAGCTAGAAAGGGACATTAGGCAAGAGTCTGCAGTGACAGGACAAGGGGCAATGGCTTTAAGCTGTGGGAGGACAGAGATCAGAGATTAAGAGAAAATCTGTGAGGGTGGTAAGGCCCTGGCACAGGGTGCCCAGAGAAGCTGTGGCTGCTCCTGGATCCCTGCAAGTGTCCAAGGCCAGGCTGGACAGGGCTTGGAGCATATTCCATCACCTGGGATAGTGGAAGGTGTTCCTACCCGTGGCAGGCAGGTGTAACAAGATGATCTTTAAGGTCTCCTCCAACCTGAACCATCCTATGATTCTATGTGTCCATCAAGTCTCTCTCCCACTGTACCACAGCACTTTGCTGAATGGCAAAGGAGCAGATTCACCCGGGCACAGCATCAAACAGTACCTGCAGAACTCTTCTGTGACACAGGGCTCTTGGGAGTGCCAGGCACGCTGCTCGGCCGCTCCCACGTCGTTTCTGCAGAAGGGAAACACCAGTGTCAGGGTGATGGAGGCTTTTGCACACATACCAGAGTTCTGACACATAAACCAGTGGATCTGACCCTCACTGTCCTCTCTCTGAACCAGGTTCTCACCCTGTGAGGAAGATGCCTGCACCTCCCTGCCCTTCCTCTCTCCCCTCATCTCTTCCTGCCACAGCTGCCAGCTGGGATGGGTGGAGACAGAGCAGACTGGAAGCTGCACCACTGGTTCTTCCAGGTCACTGCCTGGGAACACTCCCTGGCCTGCACTGACTGCCCTTCCAGGTGCACTGAAAGCCTGGGCACTGCCTGCAGCCCACTGTGGGCATTGCCACGTGCCAGCCGTGGTCCTCAGCCTGGGGACAGAGTGCCTCTGCCCCTGCTGTCTCCATGGAAGGAGCTGTGAGTGACTCACAGATGTGCTTTCAGTCACATATACACAAGCCTTAGCACCTTTTTTTCCCCCCCAGAAAATATTCCCCTGAAAAATTCCCTTTCTTCCACTCAAAAAAAAGCAGCTGGAATATGCAAATGTTTGTCACACCAGTTGTAAAGACTGCTGCTGCTTTCCCCCCTCAGTTGCCTCTGTAGTTTAACTGTTCTGCTCATTTTCTCAGCAAATGGAAAATTGCTTTTGACCACATGCTGAAGACAGAAGATTTAAGTGCAAAACTTTTTAGAAGTTGTGAACAGAAGACAATGGGATGAGAGCAGCAACTTCCACAGAAGTCCAGCCAGAAAGCCCAAGGAACCATTCCTTTTGAGTGCACATGTCAGTTCCAAATCAACTAAACAACACTGATTGCCAGATTGTATCAATAAGAAAATTAGCAAGTCACTGTAATCAAGTCTGAGGACCACTTTGGCTGCTTCATTTGAAACTGCTGTTTCCCAAATCCTGATCAACAACCATCTAAATCTGCCAAAGCCTGACATCCTGCACCTGTGTCAATATTCTGGATGACCATGGTCAAGAAGTGATGGAGGAGAGCCCTTGGGGATTAACAGTTTAGGGTTGGCAGTGAGCACCTCCCTCAGGGCACAAAAGGCCTCCTGTCCTGGGTCAGTGCTTATTTGGGCATCAAGCAGGCTGTTAACAGCTTCAAGAACCACAAAAAGCCTATTTTTGTGTATAGATTCATGCCCATATGTACATACATGTAAGTATCTATGTGCACATAGATGTCTATGTGTATATATATGCACAGAGGTGTCCTCAAGAGTTGTGTTAAATTCCTTATTTCAGAAAGAACTCAGGATTACAGATCCCAAATGGAAGCAGGTGCCATTCCCCACACCTGTACATGCCCTGCCCCTCCCCATCCTTCCCTTCTCACCCCCTCCCCAAGCCACAGCATGCTTTTGCCTGCAAAGAAAAATACTTTGAGCTCTTTCTTCCATTACGAGTTTAAAACCTGAACTAGAAGCTTTGCTGAGTCTCGAGGGAATATTTAAATTGTAGCCTGTTTTTGTGAACAGGGTAGTAAGTAAATAAATTCCATGCTAGGTCAATAAAGAAGCACTGAGAAGTGTCTTAACTAAACAGAAGCAAAATCAAATGCAAAGAGTTGTCTTTTATGAGTCAGCTTGTCTTGGCTTACAATCCACAAGTGCATGGTTAAATAAAGACAAATTCTAATTTACATTTACTGTAAGGCAAAAGTAAATAATACAGTACCCAGGTGTCTTGTAGATTTTTATTTTAAAATGTTGATTAATTAATAATGTGCACTGAGATCTGTGGGAAGGGACTGTGATGCCCACTGATGCTGAGCCCCAGTGCAGTCAGTGAAGTAATGTTTTTTTGCCAGCACTGACTTTGATGTTACCAGTAAAGCAAGCTACTTTCATATTTGGCTCGGGGGTTTCACACAAGCATAACTGTCTCCACCATTTCTGAGACCCTGCAGAGGAATGTACCTAAAAACCTACCAAATATACATAAAATGTAATTAATTGGTTAAAGAGACGTAGCTCAGTTAGCCAGAGCATGCTGCTAATAAATGAAATTTGTGGGTTTGATCCCTGTATGGGCTATTCACTCAAGATTTGGACTTGATGATCCTTGTGGGCCCCTTCCAGCTCAGAATGTTCTGTGATTCTGTGAAAATCACCAGCTGCTTCTTGTAACTGGTCTCTGTTTTGCCTGCTGGCTGTTGTGGAGCTGCTGTGCAGTGCCTCATTCTTCCCCTCTGCCACACAGAGGACCCAGACACGTAACTTGAGGGCAGAAAATTCACACATGAAAGAGCAGTGCCCAGTGGTTAGCAGATTTGTGAATCCAATCCAAAACACTCAGTCTCTTGACAAATTTTCCAAAATAAAACGACTTTGGAGTTAAGCACATTGAAAAATAAAGAAAAAACCCTCAATGCTATAAAATGCATTAAATAGAAAAAACATCTTTAATTAGGTAGGAAATGAAAAAAAGTGTTTTAACTCCATTTATTTTGAGCATTAGGAGGAAAAAAAAACAATGTACTTCTGTGCAGGGATTATTCTGGCAGCTCAAGCAGGGACAGGAACTAATCTGGATCAGGACTGCACTGCTGGAATGCCATCTACTGGAAGCAACTGCGTTTACCAAGGTAAAACTGTGACATTACAGATTTCTCTGCAGCTTAGTCATGATTAGAAGTGAGAGTGGGGATTAGAAGTGAGTGGGGGGATGACTTTCTTTACACAGAGAAGGCTTGTTGAGAGATAATGCACTGTCTGATCCAGCAAAGGCACAGTCTTGCCTGGGAGTACCAGCACAGTCCTGGTGCTTGGAAAATCAGAAGGCTACTTGTAACCCTGTGGCAGAACAGTGATCATGGCTTTAGGAATAGATTCCACACTGGCCCGGATTCTACATCCCACACAGTTTTCCCCAGAGGATGTTCCAGTCAAGCTGAAGCCTTGCACTCTGGGTGCAATTTGGCACTGGCAGACCAACACCAAGAAGTTCTGTCCTCCCTGATCAGCCACGTGTTAATTAGAGCATCCAGGCAGTGTGGGGAAGGAATAACCAGCAGTTTCCTTGAGAGAGATGACCCAGCAGACAACTGCAGACAATCCTTGACTGTGAAGGAGGGCTGTGAACAAAAACAAGTACTGCAGCCCTGGGAGATACCCAAGGCCAGGGCTAGGAGCCATCTGGTCTAGAGGAATGTGTCCTCTGCTGGGAGCTGGCACAAGGTCCCTTCCAATCCAAACCATCCCGTGGTTCTGTGGAATTGAGTCAGAATTGAGGAGAAAACCACTTGTTAAAACTGAAATGACGTAGTAAAAGGAAAAACAGTTCCAAGATCCAAGCTCTACCGGCCAACGGAACCAGAGAGGGTTTTCACACAAGTGGTGAGACACTTCCTACCAGAGGAAAAGTGGAAACCTGTGGTGTTTGGGGGAAGCAGGTTCACTTCTGTTTGGCAGAATGAGAAATGACATGATATGTCAGAGAGCCACACACTCTGGGAATTGTGTTAGTCAAGAAACAGCCCTTTGAGAATATCCTGAAGCAGACAATTTTTGTGATCACACTGTGACAGCTGAACTGACTGAACGCAAATCTCTCTGCGCCTGCATCAAACGTGAGAGTCAAGCACACAAGTGCACAGGCAGCACATGAACTTGTTCAGCTGTGGTGTCAGAACCAAAATCCACTTCCATCCCACAGGCAGCTCAATAAAAGGCTACCAAACAGCTTTTGACCTCAGTCTTGAAAGACACACCATGGAGACAGGCACCATCCAGGAGTTCCTGAATTGTTCTGTCCATGCTGAATGGAGAGGTGCTTGTCACCACCTCCACAGCACGGGAAAAGCTGCTGACAAGAGCTCTCACTTGATCTTTCAAAACGATTACTGGGATATCTACCATGCCCCTCCTTTTGCAAACACCATGTGACAAAAGCAAGCCCTTCACTGCAGGCTTAGCAGTGATAATAATGCTATTTCCAGCACTTTCTGAGACAAGCTTTGTTTTTCTAGGTTTTAGGCTACTTTACCAAGGCAGGTTCCTATAACCACCCTTTAGCTCGAGCATCCTGTATCAGAGGGAAATTGTCACTGAAACGTTTTAACTGTATGAGAAAGAACATGTGATAAAAATGCTTGACATGTCTTTGGTGTCTCCACAGATGACTGACTCTTTGAGCTGCACTTCATAAGTTTAGCTGGAGTAGGAGCTGACCATAGCTGGTGAGGCATGAATAAAACCCCTCAACTCAGAGACCTTTCAAGAAAATAACCACTTTCAGCCACACATTTCAGGACTGCCCCAGCACTTATTGTTGCAGGTGGCATTTCACTAATGATGCTTGGGATAATAAGAATATATGGACTTAAATTAGGATCAAGATAACATGAAAGCAGAAGTTCTGCTTTCCAGGAGATAAAATGCTGTTTAGTAAATGGGAAGGACCTTAGGTAAAAGACAAGAAAAGGCTGGAAATAAGAACACACCACATACAGTTGGCCTCAGCTGTGAAAGCAAGGTGGCAGCAAGCCACACAAACACCGGTGTCCCAAGTACATAAGTCATCTTTAATGTGATGGGCAAGGTAGCTGCAGTCCTATTGTTTGACTAATGCAAGAGGTATTGCAGCTGCAGCCCATCAGAGAATTTCTACAGCATAATGAAATATTTTCTTGCTGAATCTACCACCCACACACAATTGAAAACCCCTCCTACAGACACTGAGTAACTCATTAACCACGTAGTGGCTGGGCACTCTGTCTTGTGCTCTGCCAGGGCAAGCAGGGATGGCTCTGGATGTTGCACAAGGCAGGTGCCAGATGTAATGTCACTGGTGCAGACTCAAGTCTCCTGTGACAAAGCCATGCTCAGAAAACCTTGGGTGCACTGAAATTGTCTTTTGTTTCACTGTGCAGATCATATCCAGCTCAGAGGCCCTTAAAATCGTTTCAGTATTGAACCTGCTTCAAAGGATGATAAATGTGGAGTGTTCATCTGGTGGGATACCGAGTGGAGACAGACAGGAATGTGCTGTTTGTCACCTCTGCACAACTGTTTGTTCCAGGGTCACCCCAATTCCTTCATTACTGATTTTCCTAACATTTTTCTTCCACATAAGAACACTGTCTCATGTATATTCTATTTCTATTTTTTACATTTTGTATATATATATATATATATATATATATATATTTCTGTTTCTTTCTAGTTAAGAACCAATTCCTCATGGTTTTTTTTTCCTGTAAAGACAATTAAAATTAGACCACACAACAACACATGGTGGAAATACTGTTACAGTCAGATAAGATCACAAAATCATAAAATAATCTGAGTTGGAAGGGACCCAGAAGGATCATGGAGTCAGACTTTTAGGTGAATGGCCCATATGGGGATCAAAGCCACAACCCTGGCATTATTAGCACCCTGCTCTGACCACTGAGCTCATCTCAGGGTCAAGATGTACAACAAAGGCAGATAATCCCAGTGTGGAAGGACATTAACCACTGAAAACAATGGTGACAATAATAGTAATGCCTCACAAGAAGGGAGGCGTCTGCTGTATTTTGAAGGCTCAGAAGAATCATGCTTTTACTTGACCCTAAAATCCCACTTCCCCTCCCCAGGAATGCGAGTGGATACTTGTGTTACCACTTCTGAATTGTTCAAGCACTGAGAGCAACAAAACAATTTAACCCAAAAAAAGGCTTCTGCACCACCAGGCACGGTCAGAAAGATGAACCTTTGCACAGACAGGTCACCCAACACCTCTTGTCTTCAGGAGGAGGGCACAGAACTACACACAGGGCTCACCTGGGGAGCAGCACAGCTCCACCACACCAAATCCTGCACTTAGATGACCTTCCTCAGAGGCTGTGCCCCCCTTGCTCCCAGCCATGCACCCATCCCAGCAGATGCTGTGGTGTGGAGCCCACCCCCTGCTGCTGCCTGGTGACATTCCTGCCTGATCCTGAATTTCCCTGGAGAACTCAGGGGCAGGACAGTCCACGGAGGGGCAGGAGCTGACCCAAAACACAGCGGGGAGATTCAGCACAGCTGAAAATGAAATGTTCCTCTGAATTCATATCAAGATTCTTTGACTCAGATAACCAGAAAAAGCAAACCAGAAGATAAGTGACAAGAGCCTGCTTACATGTGATTATTGTAAAAACTGGGGAAATACCAAGACACCAAAAAAAGAACAACTTCCATTGAAGGCATTTGTCAGTTTCTACATTGATAAATATTTTTCATGTAGTTTAGGCTTTACAGACTGAAACAAGCAGGCCTGACAGGGATTTCAGGAAGTCATACTGCCCCTGCTCTACCCCAGGAAAGGCCAACCATGAATTTTCATGGTTTTGCATAACCTGCTTTGGTGATACAGACTCCAGGCAACTCTGTACTCCCACACTTCACTTCCAACAGAGCTTGGAAGGATTAGCTGTCCTGGTTGTAACTGAGATGTGTTCTAGAGATGGAAATTGAAATGGAAATGGAAATCTTCTGGTGATGGCAGGCATTGCAAACAGCCTTCTCCTGAACGGCATTTGATGCACTTCAAGGCTACTTTCATGAACCTGCCCACATCTTTGCTTTCTAAGGGCAGACATCCCCAATCTCTCAGCATTTACCCACAGGCTATGTTTTCCACATCTTCCATCACTTTTGCTACTCTCTTCTGGGCTTTATCCAGCTGACTCACATATTTCCTGAAGTGTAGAGTCCAAACAAGATAAAATATTCCAGCTGAGGCATTATAATTTCCTTGTAAAGTTGGAGGCTTACTTCATGCCTCACAGACAACACTCCTATTTATACAATGGAAAATGCTGGCTGGTTTGTACTAGCACAACACTGCTGGCTCTCACTCAACTTCAGATCCTCCAGAGCCCCAATGTCTTCATCTGTAAACTGTTCCATTGCCTGTCTTTGCCACTTAATTATTTCTGATGAAATCTCTGATCTTAAATGCATCTTTACTGAACAGCATCCCCCTATTCCAGGGTGATTGTGAATTCTGAACCTGTTCTGTGCAGGAGGGAACACCGTGTTCCCTCCCAGCTCCAGTTAAAAGTTATTTTTTGAATAAGTGCTCTCAATGTCAGCATGCCATTCATCGCTGGAAATACTGCCTAGAATGGATTCTCGGGCAGATCACTGCAGGACTCCCTTCAGCACAAACTCCCCCAGGACAAGGGACCATTGATGACCATGCTCTGAGGATGAGCTGGCAAACAGTTTTGCAGCAGCTTATTGTAATTTAACTATGGTCCCTGCTTTGTTTTCCTTTTAGTCAGCTTTCAAACTGCCTTTGTTGCTTTTAAGACCTGTTTTCCCATCAGTGAAATGCCTTCCTTCACACAGGTCCTCTACCCGCAGACCCTGCCTGGATGCTGGGTAAATATTTAGCCACAGTCCCACCCCACAAGAAAGCCCAAACCTCCTCTCACCAGAACCTTTCAATGATGGAAGTGCTTCACTGGGCTTAGGATTAGTCTCATCTAAACAGAACTTGACTAAGTGATCCCTAAAGCAAGGTTCAGAACACAGAAACCCCACTTCCACCCTCTCTTACAAGCTGTTATTCTGAGAACCACACAACACTGTAATGGTTGAGAGCACAACCACAGGTGGTTTGGGCATTCTGCTGAGAAAGACTGGATGGAAGTGACCTCTGGAAGTCTTCAGCCCAGCTACTCAGAGCAGGATCACTGCTAAGAACAGATCAGCCACAGCTCTGTCCAGGCAGTTTCTGAGATTTTCCAAGGACGGAGATTCCCCCGCCTCCCTGGTCAGCCTGTGCCAAAGTTATCCTCCCTTCCTAGAGGAATCAGAAATCTCCAGATTTCTGGCCTGAGCTCCCAAGCAGCATATGGCAATTGGCCCTTGTTATATTACTTGTAACTTTTGTGAGGGAAGTACAAAACTGCCTGACATTATGGAGAAATTTAGTCCCAGTCCCCCCCGTTTCTGAGGCAGGGTCCCTCTGACAAGAACTCTCATCACAAGAGAAACAAGCTCTGCCTCTTACTGGTTCTACCTGGCCTCAACCCAGTGATTCCATCCCAGTGATGGCTCAGAACTGAGTATAATTACCTCCTCCCCACATCTGAATAGCAGTGGGAATGGGGTATCTAACTCCTGCTGCTCTCCCCAGCTGTGCAGGGGATGCTGCCCACCAGCCAGAGCAAACCGTGCTTGGAAATGGAGACAGGGTCAAATGGAAATGAACTTTCTGGAGGAAAAGTCCTGTAAGATGTGAGTGCATCAAACTCCAGTAAACAATGACTTGGCAAAGTTCTGGGCTAAAAGCTTCTGAAATAAAACACATCAGCCCCTGAACAGACCATGAGGTGCCCATGGCTCTCCTTTGTGAGTAAAGGAATGCCAGAGGTCACTCCTGATGGCTGCAACTTCCCTGTGAACAAAGTTAGCTCCTGCTGTCCTCTCCTTCATGTCACTCTGACATTCTCTTTGCTACAGAAATGTGGATTTGCTGGTCACAAGACCCTGTTTTGCAATGCTGCTGTGAGCTCATGATGAGAAGAGCAGGTCGACACAGAGTCTCAGGTAAACTGGAGGTGGTACAAGTTTGACAGGTCTTGAGCAGGTGATAAGATCATGAGTTGTCAACTTCTCAACATGACAGGGAATAGAACTCACAAATACAGACTGAAAGCTTTGTCTGTGTTGTCCCATTACATGTTTTTTCTTTCCTTGTCTCCATGGAAAAGCTGAGTGTGAACTCTGTTTCTGTTTTCCCCAATGGTGCTTTAGTGTTATCTGATGTTTTAGCAAACTACTTTACATGTATGTGTATATAGAGACATAAATATCTCCAGGCAAAGGAAACAGGCAATATGGTAACAGCTATATCTTTAACAGTGTTTCATATTCTAAAGCATTTATGACAGGGGCATTTCTGTTTTACATTCTCTGTCTTTTGTCAATGTTTCAGATGTCTTCTGATGATCAGAATTCAGTTGACAGAGTATTATAATCTTCTTGTATTTTCTTTCAGGTATGGTGTCAGGATCATATTAATTACTTTGGCTCTGCAGCTACTTTTGTTATCCAAATCAACTATCAAGATGATTTCCTGAAACAGATCTGTGCTGGTATGATGAAACATGAAAGCCACCCCCACTTACCATTTGTGAAGGTGTTCACGTAGTACCTGCGACCCTGGGGAGACATGTAGCTCTGCCAGCCAGGGGGAAGGTGGCCATTCAAGGTGTCCTCTCCTGGCTGAGGAGTTGCCTTTCGTGGTTTCTGCTAAAAAAAAAAAAAAAAACAACAAAAAACCAAAACAACATATTAAGTCAATATCTAGATAATGTAAAGTCTAACCAGACACACAGCTGGAAGGAAATGATGTGGTTTGGCATTCTGCAGATGCTAATATACCCAAAGAATTTCAGTCCATTTCTCCCTTCATCTGTGCAAGCTTCATCTAGAACAGGAAGCAACATTGCCCTGGAGAAATCACCCTTTGGGACAGAAATGAACCCCTCTGTATTTAATGTCCCAAGAGCACGTGGAGCTCTCCAAGAAAATGACTCTGGTTGAGCAGAAAAATGCAAAGCATGAAATGATCAAATGTCTGAGAAAGAGAGGCAGGCATCTGGCCCTCCTTTACCTTCCCATGGAGATACCAGTGGGTCAAGGCTCTGATCATGGAGGTGCTGTCACAATTTATTTTACAGGGGCACCACCACCTGAAGCACAAAACCAGACTCTCCCAGTAATCTGCACTGGATGGCACAGAGTGCTGGAACAAATCCCAGGACAGCTCCTCCACCATGGGATTATTGGTCCCCTGTAACTGTTTGCAAAAGCACACTGAAGAAAAGCAAACTGTGCAGTGTGGGAGTGTACCAGCTCCGGAAGGATACGGCAGCAGGTTGGCTCCCTCAAATTCCCTTCACGGATATCTGGCCTTGAAAATAACAAAGATACACCAGACAATCTCTGCTGTGCATGAAAACCTCATAAAGAGGAATCTGGGGTAATCCGGCCCTGCGTTCTGTTTCAGAAGATCCAGATTTCACACGTTTGCTGCACGCTCACCGTTTCTGTACCCAACACCTTTCTCTTCAGGAACTGAAGTCCCTCCATTCCCACTACCCCTTCTCCTTAATTTGATCCCACAGTGATTCCATGTGCCACGCTCAGATCCCTTTGGGTGCCCATGGTGTTCCTCCACTTTGCACAGTCAGCACCAGAGTCCTGCAAGGCTTAGCTGTTTTCTTAAGGGAAGCTCTGAATTGCCCCAACATCCTTTCAGGCACATTTTCAGTGTGCTTCATGTGTCTCTGATGGACTGCAGGAAGAGCAGAGGTCTTTCACAGGTGAGTGCCATGGCTGTGTTCTTAAACAAAGGCTGTGCCAAGAGGCAGATGGGGACAGATACAGTAAACACCAGCAAATGTTGGATGGAAACAGTACAAAAAGCAAAGTTAATCCAGTGTTTCGGTCCCTGCCAAAATGTGCATCCCTTCAAAAAGCATAAAAGCATTATGTTTTGCAGTGCTAATTCTGTTTTTTGGTTACTAATACTTCTACCTTTGCTTCTGATTTTGCCAATCAAGAATTGCTGTGAGCACAGCAGTGTCTGTCAATGACAGTCAAGAGGGAATCTCAGCACTGCCAAATGCTGAAGTTCTTGCAAACAATGGGGAAACAGTTTGCTTTTATGTGCGTGCATTGTGGTTTAACTCCAGCCAGCAACTCAGCACTACACAGCCACCCACTCCCTGCCTCCCACCCCTGGGACAGGGAGGAGAATCAGAAAAAAAGTAAAATTCGTGAGAGAAGAACAGTTTAATCACTGAAATAAAGTAAAAGATAATGACAATAATAATGATAATGATAATAATAACAAAGAAACAGGAGGAAACAAAACCAGAGAGGAATAAAACCCAAGAAAGACAAGTGATGCACAGTACAATTGAACACCCATACCCAGCCCTTCCCTGAGCAGCATTCAGCCCCTCCTAGCCAATTCAGCCCCAGTTTATGACATTCTGTGGTGTGGAATATCCTTTTGGACAGTGTGGGTCAGCTGTCCTGGCCCTGCTCCCTGCTGGCTCCTTCTGCAGCTCCCTGCTGGCACAGCAAGGACACTGAGGAGTCCTCCATTTAGAGTGAGCACTGCTGAGCACCAACTAAAACATCAGGGTGTTATCAACATTATCCTCGTACTGAATCCAAACTCAGCACTGTACCACCTGCTAGGAAGAAAACTAACTGTAGCTCAGCTGAAACCAAGACAGCATGGAGTATGTGTGGATCCCTTCCCTTTGTTTTAGACAGGAATTTGACTCAGGTCACTGTTAGACAGGACTCACCCATGGAGACTGCAGAGGAAGATCCACTGAATGCTGGGACCACTGCTGTGTTAGAGCCCCTAAGTGGTCCCAGTGCAATTCCCTCCCAACAACACTTGGACTCCAACTCCTACAGCAGCTTTAGGGGGAAAGAGGAACTGAAAATGACATAGGGGAGGAACCGAAGAAGAAACAAAACTTCATACAGGTTTCCTCACCACTCTGCCCTCACAGAATCACAGAATCACCAGCTGGTTTGGATTGGAAGGGACCTTAAAGATCATCTCATTCATCCCCCCTGCCATAGGTAGGGGCACCTTCCACTATCCCAAGCTCCAAGCCCTGTCCAACCTGGTCTGGGACACTTCCAGGGATCCAGGGACAGCCACAGCTTCTCTGGGCAGCCTGTGCCAGGGCCTTACCACCCCCACAGTAAAGGATTTCTTCTTCATGTCCTAATCTCAACCTACTCTCTCTCAGTTTGAAGCCATTCCCCCTTGCCATGCCACTACGAGCCCTATTCTCCTCATGCAGGAGCCCAGGATGCTCTGGCACAGATAGTGTGGGATGATGAGATCTGGGACAGATGCACATGGGCCTGGGCATTATGATGCACCACAGATTAAGTACCTCCTAGTTCAGGGACACTCAGCAAGCCATCCTTTCAGAAATGAGAGTGCCAGAGAGGCCATCGTGGGTAGCACATCGTCCTTTTTCTGCCAAAACAGGAGATCTGAGGAAAAGGAGAGATCTTCTTGCTCTATTTTTCTCAGCAGACACAACCCTGTTCCAGCCTGGCCATCTGCAGTCCCTTCTTCTTTCATCAGCACAGCTAAACCAGGACCATGTTTGCACACCTCTGTGGGAGCAGTTTTGGTTACTGTGGCATGTGATGACAGGCAAACCTGCTGCTGGGACACAGCAAGGACAGGGCCATGGGAATGCACAGGCAACTGGCAGACAGTGTTCCAAGAGGCCAGCTCCACATCTGGCACAGCTCCACATCTGGCACAGCAGCCACAGGCAGGCTTCAGAGCTCTCCCAAAGCCAGCTCCCACCAGGACACCCTTGTTCCCAGCCACATGGAACCAGGAAAGTGCTTAGAGGTACCCATGTGTAGATGCTCCACTTCCTTAGATCAGCAAGACAGGACTGTTCCTTTGATTTCTTGCTCTTGTTTTAGGGGAATTATTGCCAGGATAATTTCTGAGAACAGTAAATCACAACAGAGGATGTCTGTCTGGAGAGGAGAGGTGTCAGCAGAGAGCATTGCAAACCAGCAAAGAGAGAGCAGCAGGCAGGGACTGGAAGCTGAAGAAAAGCTCAGCTTGAAAAGAATCTGCCAATCATGAGGATAAATATCAAGGCTTACCAGGGAGCTGTGCACATCTTGTGGTTCCTCCATCAAGATAATTAAGTGCCTCTTTCTAGAAGTTTTGCTGTATTCCAATAAAGAGAAAAAGCCAGGAGCCTGACACCCCTGCCCCAGCTCAGGCTGGGTGGGCTTGCAGTCCCTTCTGCTTTCTAAACCTTCCAACTCCCACAGCCCCTTTGAGCTCAGAGACGTTCAGGCCACTCCCCTCACTGTCACTGCTGGAAGTGTCACCAGCTGCTGTCACCATGGTGGTGGACAGGCAAATCTGGACCCAGAAAGGATGTCTGCAACACATGCTCGAGGAAACAGGAAACCTGAACAATGTGAGCAGCGAACGTGTGACCCCAGTGAAATCCTCCTCCATCTGTAGTGGATGGCTGGAAAAGGGATCAAAGTGTCTCACAAAACATTAAAATCCAACAGCACAAGCACTTCTCTCCCACGAGATTTCCTAGGATCAGAATTCCGTGTAGCAGGGGAACAAAGAAGAGCCAGCCACCCAACAGGTCTGGTTCTATGTGACAAGGATGGTTTTTGTCTGCTGCCTGCAGAAACACAAGGATGGAATTCTCCTGATAAATGCACAGCAGAGAGGAAACAGAAATGAGCAGCAAATGCAGAAAGGGCACTGGTGCTCTTCAGCACCAAAGAGAGATGAGAGAAAGAGAGAGAGATATAGCAAAGGCAAGCACGTGGAGTAACAACAGATCTGTGGGTTTGACTCCCCTAATCCAGGAGAGCAGCACTGACAAGAGACAGAAGGATTTGCTGTTTAGGTCACAGCACACAAACCTGACCATTCTCTGTGCTTCTTCCCTGCATCCATGGGCACTAGGGCAGGGATGCCAAGAAGAGGACAACCTGTGTGAGCCAGAGAACCATAACCCTGACCAGGAAATACTGTTTCATCTGTGTGCTGCTGTACACTGATGGTCTGGAAGCATGTCTGAAGAGAAGGACAATGGGGTCAGACATCCTGGATGCTTCACGTGCAGAAGAGCAGCAGCCAGGGGCTGCCTGTCAGAGCTCTGACACTTTCTGTCTGGCTGGGCCAGCTCAGAACAGGGCAGCAGGGAAGTGGTGAGTGCCTCTCCCACTCCACCTCTTCTGACTTTCTGACTGGTCTCTTTTTCTTTTCTTTCCTAGTCTTCTTGATCAAGTTAGCAGCAGCACAACTCATTCTGTTCCTTTGGAAAAGCCCTTGGCATTGTGATTCTGTTCCAGTGGTGGAAAAAAGCCAAAGAGAGTTTTATGCAGCAAAGTGGGGTAACAGGGAGTAACACACATCAGCTCAATCCATGATGACTTGACCCTGAGGCAAGTTCTGCCTTGCTCAATAGAGGAAAATGACTTCCCATTTTCAAACTGCAGGAAATCCCCATTCTCCTTCAAAGAGGGATCCTGGGGAGGAAACATCTGTGTGTTGACAAGCCTGAGCTCCCTGAAGATGTATGGGCTTGCACAGTGCTCCAGCAGAGAGCTCAGACCAGGGGCAATTCCCAACACACAACCCCAGGGAAAGCAAATAAAACAATCCCAAACCCACAAGTTCAGGCCTAGAGCAACCTGAT